TGGTTAGAGTTATATTCCTTTGTTCCAAAATCGGTTACCAAGGAAATGTGAATTAATCCAAACGAATTCGACGAATAAGACCAAAAATTGGACCCAAAATGTCCAGACGTATTCAATGTTTGACAACAGAATTAAAATTGAAGAACCTTTTGTTACGTCCACGTTTTGCTCCTTCCCGTTATTGAAGTACAGTATGTCGATCTATTTGCAATTCACGAACCCAAATTAACAGCAGAACCAAACTCCAAAGTTAAGTACCAAAGTTTATTCGCAATTCAGAAATAGTGGACCGAAATGTCGTTCTAACAACAATAATTATAGTAACTACAAATACCTTCAATTTTATAGGTTCCTGGAGCAAAAACTTCCAATTAGGAAACCAAGACGAACAGAGACCAAAATGTCCGAAAATAATAAATCTAACAGGTTCATAAGTTAAGTACAACAGATATACCCAAAAAACACAGAGAAATTAATGATATTTATATTCATAACTTCTTGAGCCTCAGAGTTAAAAATAAAAAGAATAAATAAAACAAAAAATTATATCACTGATTCTCTTTATTATATTTTGTAAATCAACCTTATTACTAACAACTTGGTTCTTCTGAATTTCCTCGATTCTTTCGACTAACTTCTCATTGGTTATCTCACTACTGAATTGTCTTCATTAACCTACATAAGCACAGGTGTAAAGTGTTCTGATATTAAAAATGTTTGGGTAAACATACCTTTGTTTTATCCATAAACGTATGTGCAAAGCCATTGTTCGGGTTGAACATGAATATTTTCTGTTCTGCTCCTCGTCCCGTTTTCTTTATTCCTTTTTTTCAGAACCTTATTCCAATCCACATATATTAGTCTGGATATTTGCAGTAGACTTGGTTACCCTACCCAAGAACATGTGATATCATTAGCTGACGAATATCAACCAGACCTTTGTACATTTACCGCATAAATTCTTATTATATGAAAACCCATCTGTACCATGAATCGTTTCTCAGCCCATAAGATGATTGTCATAACGCAACCTTCGTAACTTGCGCCAATTACTCGCTTTGTACATTCCATCTTTAAGAAAACAATCAATCTTGCGAAATGTTTCAGTAGCTGTATACCGTTTTTTAAAAAAAATATGTTGCTAATCTTAACATTTTGATTTTGCCTGTAAATTGGCATGTCTCTTGTAACATGTTTGTTATTTGAGAATAAATGATTATTATTATTATTATATAAAGGTTTAGTCAGTCAAATGTCTTCATTTCTTCCGTAACACTTTGGCTGGAACTCTACATTTTCATTGTAAATTTAAGCACTCTCCCAGAATTGGAAACACTCTGTGTTATAAAGCAACCAATTGTTATCCGTCAAACGGATCTGATCTACTCAGGAGTGATAGCGCTGCCTCCATTTTTTACGCTATAATAACTAGGAAAACTAATAGAATTCTGAATCCCGGGGTTAGTGATCGGTCAAAAAAATCCCAGTTTCTAATCACAGTATTACGAGAACGCTATAAAATTCAATGAACAGTGAACCTAATCGAAACGCGTGAAGCACGACTCACTAAACCGAAACACTTTGAATTAGTCTCCGACTAGGAAATCAGAATGACAATCCCGCCCAGGTTTTTACTCATGGCAAAAGTCGTGGGTGAAAAAATTAATGGGAGAAGAGGGTGTCCGAAAAGTACAGAGATGCAGACTATTATTCAGGCTGCACGACATCGATAACCGTATCACCTGCAGGTTGCCTGTTTGAACCTGCGACTCTTGGATTAAATATGATTTCTGCAATGGCCAGGTTCATTATCAGTGTGATACTGCATCACCTGGAGGGCACTATGAATTCAGTTTAAGTAACCGTTGTCCGTGGTCTCGTTATGTCCGCCCACTGTGTAGTATCAGTAAGTCAACAGAAACAATATAAGCAGGCAAAGGCCCTGCTGTAAACAAAAATAATGATCCTTTCTAGTATACCTGATTTTCCCTTAAGAGGACTGACAAAACAGGCTGCCATGACAGCAACGACACGAGCCCACATACCAGAGAATTCGCAGGTTTCTGTCAATACGTCATGGACCTTAGTCGAATTGAGTTGCTTTATCTTATCCTTCACTGTTGGAGGATAGTTTACTGGAAAGAAGGGATGTCTTTAATAGAGAACTATCGAAGAGACGAACCGTGGTCAGTGTAGAGAACATCTAGAACATCAACAGACACTTAAGAATAAACATGTATATTGGTTTACAGAGTTTCTGAGTTTATACTTAGTACAAATCTTACGGACATGATATGCAACAGCGGTGTTGGCCATCTTGTGGTATTGACCTACGCACCGTCATAGCAACTAGTAAGTTCCGGCTGCCTCGTTCGTTACGTTTCACTACAGGTGAGTCTAAGCGTCCGAAGGTTGTTAACATCAAAAACCAGGAGGACCCAAATGATGAGCTTCAGGCCCTGTCCAGCACGTAGAAGAATATCTCTAGTCACATCTCATGTTGCTAGAGGGGACCTAGATCAGTGAGACAACAGCAGGATTGCCAAGTCAACAAGAGGATGGTCTTGGTTGGCCTTGGGCAACAACCCACAATACGATACATCAAGACCATGGTCTCAGTTTTCTGGGAACTCGCCAAACTTGTGTGATCAATTTGTTTCAACATCTCATAAAGGATGCTGCTTCGGAGGCGCATCAGGCGATTTGACAAACCACAACATTTTTTCACAGCAACGTCGAGGGCTAATGGACAAACTGTGAGAGATCATAAATATGTGCACTCAATTGAATCTGAGTCGAATCATAATCCTAAATGGAACTTGGCTATTTCTCGACACCGCATATGACAAAGCGAGCTTTCACAGCACTCTTCCGATGGTGTAGAGTACACAAAACGGGAGATGAAGTGACAATATATGTTGACACCACACTGCATCCTGGTTCTATAAGCCACTTTTCTTGACCTTAAGAAGTCTGGGAGTGAATGTATGCGTGTATGAAACCACTAGTTGGGGCAGGGACAAAAATCCCTAATTTAGAGATCGCTGAGATCTTTAATGCTGCTCTCGCCAACCATTTTAACTTAGTAAAAAAAGCTCAGAGAACTACTCAGTTACAGTGACAGTCGATCGGTTGGGGAATATCCAACTTACTGTAGGGTTAGCACTGAGAACCTGGAATCCATGCGAGATGAAAAGTCACTCCTTTATCTCGAAACAGTGTGCAGAACCCTCCAATTCACCGTATGTGACCTGTCTACGCATTCACTGGAGTCGCATCAGCTTCTGGCAAAATGCAAATAAGGTACGAAAGACTGAGCCCGCTCTAAACTAGTCGCATTACTACCAGTCCTATCAAAGATGTTGAATTGACTAATAAATGAACGAGTGAGGGATTGTGAGTATAGAAACAATATCTTCCATTACGTACAACATGGGTTTAGGAAGAGCAGATCGTGCTTATCCAATCCTCCCATTGTTTCCAGCAAGAAATATAGGTCCATGAAACATTCCTTGACCTTACTGAAAATTTTAATTCAGTACCGCACGCACTCCTAGTAGCGAATGTTGAGCAGATGAGTTTTACTGATCTGGCTATACCTTGTCTTTGAAACGACCTAGAGAACAGGATGTATTGTAGCAGTATATATAGGGTTTGTGCGAGCCTTAGAGTCTTAAGATCAGGAGTTTCAAACGGGACAACCTTAGGTACACTCCTCAAGAACTTTATTAATGACCTGTTAGATGATATTAACTCAGCAGCTGTAATCTCTGCAGATGACGCAAAGATTTTAAGGTTCACAAGCGGTGAAGAAATTCATTCGCGATTCAAGGAATGAACCGTAGACAAACGTAAACGGTCGAAATACCATGTTCAGAACAATCTTCTCTATAAGACACTGACGACTTACGTCGTCTATAGAAGTCCGCCACTACATGTCTCTTCAGAGCGCGACATGAGTTTATTGACCACAGAGAGCTTGGAAACCAATTCAAACTGAGCTGAGTGGGTATCTGTAATAAACGCAACATCACTTTATAAGAAGACCACCTGGTACAACAACTTCGTAATAGTTCATAACTCTTAAAAACGCACACATGACCTCACCTTGAAATCGACAATGTTGTCAAGTCCTACATTTTCGAAAGATATAAAAATTTTTCGGATCACGTGCAGAAATAGGTAACTAAGTGGTTGGTAATTTTAAAGAATGATTCCTGGGAAAACAGACTTTAACACAGGCCTACTCGTGCCCGACCATAAGAAGATAAGAGGTGACCTGATAACGGCATATAACACATAAAGTACACCAAGTTATACAACACGAGCATCCAACCAGAACATCACCATCAAGCCCATTAATCGTATGCGCCCACCTTTAATCATTCAAATTTTCCTTAACTTGAAACTCTCTCTCAGGTGTGGTGACTTCAGCTGCCTCAGTGGATAGATTCAACAAAACGTATTCACATGATTATGTGATGATAATCATCTTCCCCTTGAATCAGCTGTGTCTGATTCGTGTTTCGAAGCATATATGTTATTATAATGATCAGCTTGTTCAGTTTCTCTTATTATCATCTCTGATTCCTGCTTTATCAAATCAACTAGAGCCTTTCAAACTACCTGCATTACCAAATAATTAACCTCATGTTATCCAAAAAAAATTTCATTCACATAATTATACATAACACCCCTTACTAACGATTATGTTGTGTCACTGAAAACCGTACTATTTAACCTGACACTTTTACCCTAAATCCGTTCGCTTTATCGTTTACATGTACTTTCTGAACTGTCTCGCAATTAAACCAAGTGTGACGGGTTACTTGGAATGTGAAAATCGAGATTCACATTGAATGGAATTTTAATATGTAACTTCAGCTTTTCGTCAGTTTGCGTTTAACTGGACTGTACTTTTTGAGCTAGTTGGAGTTGAGTTTGGGAACAAGAATAAATGCTTTTAGTGCACTATTTTTGAGTAACTTCAATCGTTCTCTTTTTCCTCAAGGTTGCGCGGCATGTTTTGAGGTTTATTCCCTGGTATTATTCGAATAGTGATGTAACTAATATAAAAACCCTAATGAAAATAATATAATCCAAATTAAGTATCATTATATCATTTCCAGTTTTCGTCCGGGAATGATATAACGGGTGGCTAATTGGCTTGTGTTGGACCTTACAGTTTTGATCATTCAGATGGAGCGTCAATCACAATTTGGGGTAACAAATGTCATTCTTTGTAAATTCGATAAGAAAGTCGGTTGTCAGCTGACTTTTTGTGGCATTTTTTAGTGTCCTTGTAAATTCTCTGTTTTGGGAAGGCAAAAAAAGTGGGCGTGTGGAATACAAATCTAACATTAGGTAATTCTAAAGCTATTTCAGCTCTCGTCCTTCGATTTAATACAGTAAGCATGTTCGATATAATTAGTCCCTCTTTATATGGCAACCTTGTGTCCGTTAATCAACTTAGTAGCGGTTGTTTGAATCTTTTTCAATAGCCTAATGTCCCTTTTAGTCAGGGTCTTAGATCCTTTATGCAATATTCAAGTTTAGGGCCGACGAATACTGTATACAAAGTCAAAAATGCCTTAGCAATTTCATGACTTAAGATTCTATGTACAGACCATAAAGTTGCAAAAATATTTGACGTCTATCGCATGGCAGCGTGCAACCTTTTCTAGGTTTTGGCTAATGATGACACCTGGTTCATTGTGTGTCTAAATAACAGATTGCGTCTTACTTACGCCTGTCACACATCACGGAGCACAGAACGCTGACCAGCATTCTCCAACCAACTCTGTCCTAGGCTCTCTTTTCCGGTTCTATCCAATTGCTTTTCGTTCTTTTCATATCTGTCTACAGTTCTCGACCCAATGTGCTCTTTGATCTTCACCTTTACCCTTTGGCTGTGATAATTCCAAGTTAGGGCATGCCCAGTTCCTTAGTTTAATTTCGTCGTTTACTGGAACGTGGTTATTTCTCTTCAATGGTAGGTTGTTACTGGTGGTGTCCAGAAAACAGTTCATCGGTATCTTTAGTAGACTATTGTTAATTAACACCTTAACATTTGGGTGGTTGCATGTATAGTCCAAGAAGTTATTGCATTTGAAAGATATTTTCGAATGAATAGATAGGTACGTTATCACTTAGTAATCGACCTTTCATCATTAGCTGTTGAGGTGGACGTCATGATCGCCAATAAACAGTACTTTCGAAAAAATGTTTTAGGGTTTCTTGTATCGTCACGCCTGCAGTTGTGGTTTCCCGACTTAGTCAATTAAATAAGCTTTCTGTATAGTAAAGCCGTAAATGGCCTATATTTTTTTGTATTTGATTAGGTGTGTCCTAGTTGTGCCTTAACAAATAAGATTATTGTACTTAGAGAGAATGGGCGTTTTACCATAGTCTATATCATCTTTTGCTGACTGAGCCATGTTTTTAGGTGCAGACTACCTGGTTGGGGTCCTCGAGACGATGGTAACCGATAGCTAGAGACCTTGAACAACGTTGCTCATAATCGTGTTGGTGCATCCATTCTTTGTGTTCTATAGAATTGTATCCTTCTGAATTCCTCATCTTTTTCCTTCTCTGTTCAGTTTACTTTACTGGATTATACTTCTCAAATAATATCTTCGAACCTTAATATCTTCCATCACCGCTAGTGTTTCTTCTATATCTAGCACTATATAATTTAAATTGACTATAGCATCCTTCTGCTAATGTGGTATGGCAACTTGAACTGATGTACGTACATACGAAGTTCTATGCTGTAACTGACTGAGCATTCAGTATGTAAACTGAAATAATCGTATTTTGGTTTAAACTTTAAGCTGAAGATAGAATCTGAGTCCTAATCGACGATTGCGAAAATGTAGCGAACTAAAGAAGCGACCATAATTAATAAATAAAAGTAAAAATCTAAACTCAGGATCTAAAAATACTGAAGGTTACTAAATTAACAAGGGTAGAAACCCGCTATAGGTTTCGATCAGTTGAATAATTAGGATTAATAGAGGGGGATTTAAGTGCAGGCCGACAACGACAGTCACCTTTGGGTTCTATTTTCAGTCATTTCTAATAATGTTTCAAACCATTGAGGCAAGTGGTCCGTTGGATCTCCCCAGAATGTGGAGTGTCAACAAGTAATAGTCTCGTACGGCACTTTTATTACAGTTAGTTATGTCACAGACTGACCACCATTCTACAGAGCTGGGAAGTGATGCGCAGTATATAAGCTGTGTAGACAAAATTCGTAAAAATGTCCAAGTTAGTGAAGTCCATGTTTAAAGATGTTTATTTAGTTTTAATCACTAAATCCAAGTACATTACCGGAATTAAGCTACATGTATAGTGTATTGCTAGTTGGTCAGTCAGCAACAACCCAGAACTTGGTACGTACGAACATCAGTTCATGTTGCCACACTATATCGGCACAAAGATGTTATTATCGATTCGATTTCCAGAGAATGGATGCACCTGCGCCATTGCAAACGGTTTTAAGTCATGTCATTCAAGGTCTCTAACCATCGACTACTATTATCTCGCGGACCCCAACCAGGCCGTCTACATCTACCAACATGACTAAATCCATTTGTCAGTGATTTATGGATTTGTGCCATGTTGTGGTTTGGCTAACCTAGTTTTCTTCCAACCTACTGCTACACCACAAAACATAGCTCATCAGAGCAGTTGGTGATTGGGCATTCGTAACACATGTCCCAACCATCTCAACTGGTGATATCTCAACACTTCGTCTATTGATCTGCTATCCTTACCTATTACTCATTTCATAACAACAGTATGGTTTACTCGGTACTCGCAAAATATACGAGCAATGCCTCTAAGACATCTATGATCGAAAACCAGTAACCTACGAATGCCCTCAATTCTTAGTGGCCATGTTTCACAGCCATATAATAAGACGGAGCGAATTGATGCGTCCCTTGGTTAGCAAACGGATATCTCGCCTACACCATAAGTGACGCAAATTGACAAAAGCCAACCAAGCCTTCTGTATCCACGTTCAAATTTTGTCAGATACCAGGCCATCAGCACTGATGAGTCTCCCGAGATAAGTGAAATGGTCAACATGCTCAACCGTTTCACTCTATACCAGTAGTTCAGGTGCCAATGCAAGTCATTGTTGTAGCAACAATTTGCATTTCGGGGGGGGGGGGGAGGACCGCATCTCTAACATGCTTGCACTATTACTTAAGGTGGTCAAAAGAGTACATTTTGTCAGCGTCTTCACCAAACAGAATTATGTCATCGTCATATTCTAAGTGAACGCTGCGGATCTTCTGGTAAAAGTCCAACTCCTGAAATCGCAGACAAAAAAAGTGTTATCTCTAAATGCATGTCGACGAAATCGATGGCGTGAGATTTTAAGGTCCTAGCTAAGCAAGTTTGTTGTCCTATTTGGCACAATGTCCGGACATTAGGAGCTCCAATATATAGTTTAGAACGGGGTTTGAAGAGACCAGGCCGAACGTTTCATGAACTCGAATCGTTTGCATTAGCGGCTTGAAGGTGATAAAGGAACGTGAGAAGGGTTAGTCGTTTCGATAGGAGAGATGTTTGGAGCTGTTGGAAGAATTTGATAGTGAATAGTTCGCTCTCGTGTGTTGTTACGGGTATGAGGGCGGATGTCACTTCGCGGCTGCCCCATCGTGGAAGGGTGTTTCTAGAGGAACTCGGAAAGGAGATTAGGCTAGTGTTGGTTTTAGAGATCTGAGAGCGCGCTATCAGAGCCCAAGGGACAACTGTTTGAGGCCAGTCACGCGTGGCCTTTTTATGAGAAGCCTGCAAAATGTTGGCTCTTTTCTTTCCAAAAAGCTTTACCGCCGGAGATGGAAATCCGTAGCGTAAGGTGAGGTTTGACATTTTTAGGATCGGCGTTTTCTAAGCCCCTACTTTGGGAAGTCTGCAGATGCTGCATTTCCGAGGGAAACACTTTACTGTTACACGCATCTAGTTAGCAGTAGGACTGCGCCCTCAAACCATGAGTTGCTGCTTTTAGTCTCACTGTTCTCCAATCAACCTGCCTGGCATAGTAGAACTTACAGGAGCCAGTATCGCTCGGTTGGTTGATCACGATAGGCAAGCCTGATCACCACTTTAGGGTAGCAGATACGGTAGCGGAAGGGCATACCTAAATGCTATTTTAGTTATACCAGTATTCAGTTCAGTCACTAGTAGATTGCAAAAGGGACTGATAAAATGCCAAAGTATATTGGACTCAAAATGTTCGGTCATGTTTATGATGATGCTCACTAATCCCACTATTATGGCATGTTCCAATCCTGTTTTTACAAATCCTGCAGTTATAAAATGCAATTGTTATCAGGATTGGCAATCAATATCTACTCAGCACTTATCGAGAAAGCACTCACAGTTCGTATTAATCGCATAGATTCATCCGAGTCTTTATTGACTATCGGAGTAACCTTACTACGTGTTTTTTTTAAAAAACCCGATCATTTATTTGTTTTTTATGAGTAAAAGTGTTACCGTATCTAAACCCGCCACTAATTCCACTATTTATAAGTTTAGTAAGTTGTTAAAAGCTATTACTCACTCAAAAATACCATTCTCGTGTTTTGTTGATGCTTAATAATTTTCATTCTTATGAGGACAGTTATGCTGCTTATCTCGTTCAATTAATGCATCCACTACTTTTTGTCGCTGGGACATATGAGAACCCGGCTTAGTATTCATTTGTATCGGAGTCTCTTTTATGTTTGCTAAGCTGAACTTTACGGAACATAAAGAGAAGTAAAACTTAGTTTCCCCCAGTCTTCATGTGATGGTAGCTGTTATCTTGACGCGTGGATTAGATTTATGTGCAGATAATAATTCATCATAGGCAAGTAGTAGGTGTAAGAACTTTATTTCAGACAGTAGACTGGTTTTCTTAATACCTCATATATTTTGCACATACCATGATTTCATTGGCTTATTTGTTTACTATTCTCCCCCCCCCCCCGGTTTTTGAGTCGGTGAGTGATTGGCTTTCGTAGAGATTCTAAAAAATTAACATAACACTTGAGTCCTTTTAAATTGTGTTGAATACTATTCCTATTTCTGATTTTACTATCACTTACAGTTTCTATTTCTATAGTGTAGCTCGTTTACATGGTGCTAGATTACATGTTCACTTTTAATCCTCAAAAATAGTGCCACGGTTCTAACAAGCTACCAGTTGGTCGTAAATTTAGTGTCGTATCTGCTAAGTTACCACTACGTGGTTTCTATGCAAACTAAATGCGGTTCACTGTTAGCACGAATTTTGAAGGAAACCTGTCTCAAGCTATTTATGGCAGTGGAATCTTGCCACCTTAGAAGTTCAATTGTTACATACATCTTAAAGTGCTATGCATAATTTAGCACTAAATATCCATAAAATCAGTACGTCGACACTGTGTATATCATTGAGCACAATTCGTAAGCTCGAAATAATCAAAACAAAATCAATAAAAGCATTCACTTTAGCTTAGGATTTCGTAATACTAACAGGCTCTCAGGTTGTGTTCGAAAGACTAACAAGCTAACATCAAAACATTTGTCACTCCATATATTTATCTGAAATGTCGAGAGCGAATCTAAAATATAAAAAAAAAGTTAGGTTTTTCGTTCCATTTTGCTGTATTTTCAATGCATTTCTACTGTTTTAGACATATGAATGGGTATACCGAGAGTGCTTTGCAGACTCAGAATATGACTCAATCAAATAATTTTACTTCCCCTACTAAAAGGGAACGAACAGCAAATAATAATTCTCACTGTTTTTCTCTCTCACCAAAAACCATTGAGCATCCCAGTCAAACTTCTTCGCCGAAAAATTTAATGAACAATCTTCCTAACGTAGTAGAGACTGCAGCCGTGCCAAACTTCCAGTATAAACCAACATGCATCATACGTGAAACACATAGCCAATCTGTTTTCGGTGTTGCATTTAATTCAATCAATCGAAGTCAACCAACTGATCCTCTTCTTTTTGCTACAGTTGCTAGTCACTATGTAAGTTTTCCATGTTTACAAAGTTAAATTCACTCAACGACTTTTAATCCATTTGTTCGCGTTAACTACTTGTGCTTCTTCATCTCAGTCCTAATATTTTCAGGTTTTACTTTTACTCATAATAGGTCACAGTTTATCAATGTAGTCTAAAAAGTAATCCTGAAGATAAAGCTAGTCAAAGTTCTTCAGATATGTCATCTGTTTGTTTACTCCAATCCTTTGCCGATCCTGCCGGCGATAAAGAAGAGTTTTATTGTTGTGCTTGGTCGCGTGATACAAGTGGTAATGTAGCATCTAGCTGGTGGACTGATTGTTGTGAAAGTCGTCGACCACGTCCAACTCCCCATCCTCATCAAGGTCCAATTAGCTCTTCCAGTGCATCACTTTTACCTGCTCATCAGCAAGTAGTAGCTGCTGCAGGTAAACGTGGTGTAATCCGAATCCTGTGTCCTAGTATGGCTAGTTGTCCTGCTAGTCTTGTTGGCCACGGATCTTCTATCAATGAGCTAAGGTTTCACCCGAGAGACCCTGCTCTATTATTTTCTTTTAGTAAAGGTTAGTGAAATATTTTCCGGGTTGTTCATGAACGAATTCTAATGGCTTATAGAGATAAACTACAAATCTTGCTTACTAATTTTAGATTTATTGTACACCTTACATTTGTTGATAACAGCAAAAACCAATGATTATTTACAGCGACAGTGTAGTTAAATCAGTCGGTAAATTGAAAATCTATCCAACTGAAGCCGTACTAACTCTTGCCTGCGATATATAGCAATCTAAAGCTAGTCAGTAGAAAAATTCACTCTCATTAGCCTTTTTATTACCACCTGAATTGAAAACTATCATTCATTGTAATGAATGAAAATTCAATCCACTAATGAAGGTTAACATACTTAGTTATAAGTTAATGTTTGTATTGTCATAATGGAATGAAAATTAAAATATACTTATTAACAGTCAAACAATATTGCGAATAAACCTTGTACAAAAGAAGATGCTAGGATATTAAATAAGATAATGGAGCTAGTACTAAGTGAAACGCAATCAACTAACTCAATACAAGTTAATGGTTATTAAGAATAACATGAGTTAAGCTCAGTAAGTAAAAACTAGCATGCACTATTAAGGAATTAAAGAATGACGTGGTCATTTAAGAAGCTCTTCTTGAGTAACTTAATGAAAGCTTCTTTAGTCCACATATATTCCATTCCATATACTCTGCCGTCGAGTTAGGCATTGAGTCTTGCTATTCACTCTCCTTTGTATTGCATTGTCCGAAAATTGGTACCCAAAAACCTTTTATGTTCCATAGTAAACTGGACATCCCTATGCTCTTTGTTGAGAGCTCTAGCAAGTAGGTTGGTCGGTGTTAAACACTAAGCAGGATAAACCTGTCGTCAACATAACTCTAACAATAGACCATTTCATTAATCACCATTCCAGCTCATTATTTTTAGTATTGGCTAGCTGTTTAAAACCAGGTACTGGTAGAGCCAGGAGATCGGAATATTAACAAATAATGTCTATGGTCTCAGAAAGAATTATTTTTAAAAAAGTGCCATATCAAAAGAAACCATCTAGTTAAATAAATAACCTCAGTAGATTTGATTCTAAAATGTTATAGGTTGTAAACATCTGATTCGAACCGAACGATTTCATACCGATCCGTTCTAATCTTTGTTCGTACTCCCTCCTATTTATGAGAAGGGAATTCCAAATGAAATTTCTTAAAAAACGTCACCTAAATTAAAAAAGACTACCCGTCTCTTCGACAATATAAAGTTATTCTATACATCTACGTGCACATCATATATCTGGGGCTTAATCTTCATCTTGACTAATATTGTGAATTGTACTAATATAGTAGTATTCAACTGGTTATTTTAGAATTATAAGACCGATTCTGTTCATCATGTTGTAACTACTGGTAAGTGTGAAAACTAATATACTAGTTCATCTTGCAAACGGCATTTCAGTAACAGACAGTCAGCAAATCTTTAGTAACTTTCGGCTGCTAATAATTGATCGTTTCGGTTAAAATAAAGTTCTAGCGAGTTTGATAAAACTGTCTAAAATCATCCACAAAACACTTCAATTTGAGTTGCTTCAATTCGTGACATCGAAGAAATGGGGTGTTGACTAGAGCTAGTTGATGGTGCCTTGAAAATAGGTCGATAGATAAGAGAGATTTACAGCTGCTCATCACTTCGTGGAAGGTAACCAGTAAATCTCTTTGTATTAGTGTTGTTGAGTAAGTCATTAATATCATCTAGGGTCTTCTTCCGTGCTAATGTGGTATGGCAACTTGAATTGATGTACGTATGTACGACGTTCTACGTTGAGGCTGATTCCAGGATCCTCAAAAAACTTGTTTTTTTTCTATAACTGACTCCATTGAGGAAGTTTACTTTCATCCAAATGAATCATACATTTAGTGAGAGATTTCATGAATTAATTCCATCTCTCAGCCTGGTCACGTCTAGATTTCTCCAAATATAATTTACTAACACGATCTGTCTAGTCCATTGTCTCAGAGTAGTTAACGCATAACCCGTTCTCAGAGCTCAGAGAACGAAACTCCTTCACATGTAATTTTTCCATTTAATCCACTCTAATAACTAAGAATATGAGCAGCATTGTTAGGTCAAGATTTGGAAATATGGCTCAAAGAAAACCAAAATTTACTTACTCTATCTTCGATATCTAGTGGATTCTAAAAATTGGGAATCGAAGATAGTGATTTAATTGAACAATATCATATTTAAGTTCAGCCATGTGCAGCATTTTCAAACTTATACATGCATTCATAGTAATTTCAGAATAATTGATTGCTAAGCACAACTAGCATGTGATCCTGTTGCTTTAGATTTTTGGTGCTTATAGCTACATCTGACTACTCATATACTCCGTTCACCAAAAGCAAGCCATACTTTAATTATATTTGTAATAGAAAACCTGTAGTCTTTAGACTTTATCTACAATCAGTGGTCACATCTAACGGCTGTATAGTAGGATGAGGCTCGTGTATGTTGATGCATAGTTCTTACTTTAGCTAAATGTGTAAAAATTATTTTGACCGACTTCCGCTTTACTTTCAGTGCTACTGAAAAAAAAACAGTTTTTATAGACTAGAAACATCATGAGTATTAATTAGAAAATATAATTCTCTATGCTTCTTTACAATCCTTAGAAATGAAAATCATCACTTTCCAATAAGATGTTTGAATCCGTAAAAGTCATTCTCGACTGCAATCAGACAGTCTATTTCATATCATGCTAATCAATATAATTTTTTTCACATACTCGAATAAATTATACAGTCTTAACAGCTTTTGTATCTTACATGATATGTCAAGCTTTTATGTTGTAAGATGTATTATTAACTTTTCCCATTTCTTTCATCACTCAGTCCGCATATTTTTTCTTAGTTGCTATAATAAAGTCATTCAAATGCAAACAACCAACATTGATTTCTTTGTGATTAACATTTAGATTTCAAGCTTCTCTTCCATTACTTCCACTTTGTTTGTCTCCACGTAGATTATACCATTCGTTTGTGGAATATAGCTAGTCACGTTCTAGTATGTATCTTTGGCGGAGCTGAAGGTCATCGAGCTGAAGTCCTACATGGCGATTTATCCCTTACAGGTGATCTTCTTCTATCAGCCGGTATGGATCATTGTGTGAAAATATGGCGGCTTAATACTCCAGAATTAGCCAATGCGGTAATAGATTCATTTAACTATCGTGCACGTTCGAATCCTAAGTGAGTAACTCATTAGATATTCAAATTTTTTGAGGATCATTCCTATTTTTCGGTTTGAAATGTTGATTTTGATCATCAGTCAACTTACCGTTTACACAAACCGAGTTCTTTCCTCCGATGAAAGATGTCGTATTCAATACAGTGCTTAGTTGATATCTCCTTTAATCAGTTTACTCATACCATAAAGCTGTGAGTCCAGGTCATAATTTTTGACCAGAAACCGCAGTTCCTCTCCTTGCTGGTTTGTTGATTAATTATCACATAGTTATATAATTTGAAGCCATTAAAAACCATTCTAAAATGCATATTTTCCCTCATATTATGGAAAGTAAGCAAGGAATTTCTAGAGATAATGTTTGAAAATAGTTTTCTAAAAAATTGATATCAGTTAGATTACCAATAAAAGCTTGGGAACTCTAGACAGTTGTTTTTGTTTCATTGAGAACTCATCAAAAGTATTCACCCGTGATTCTATAGGGTGTGTTGCTTCGCCACCAAACATTTTTATCCTTCATGATAAGCGATCTTCCGATATCAAAAGATATAAGAGAGTTTGAGCCAACCAAAGTTGTATTATTTTTTGTTCATCTGTCTTCAGTAGGATAGTGGGATCTAGCTGGAAAAGTATAGCATGCATTCACAATAAATTTTGCAGTAAGACTATGTCTTTAGTTGTATGTATTCAGTATATCTTAATTATCTGTCTGCTACACAGCATCGCTGAACCCATAACTCACTGCTATTTAAAATCAAAGCCTTACCACTATGAAAGTAGTTGCAGACATTCAGAAAATTATCTTACATATTTTTAAATAATCAAAAAGTGATGAAACATCTCGGTGATATAATTGTTACTTTTATTATTTCTTATTTAAAAATAAACATTGGTACAACGGCGCACCTAAATACTTATGCGTCACACAAATTATTGAATTGACTGGGCTGGGATATTGCCTGGGTGGCCGCGCTGAAGCGGGTGGTTTCTTTAGGGAGCCACTCCCCTGTCCTTTGACCAAAAGATCCACAAGGCAGTGGAGCAACATCAGGAGATGCAGTTCCGCTGTAGCTGGTGACTAACAATGGGCTTATACGTCATTTATTCCCTGGGGATTCTGGAGCCTATATGAACCATTGGTTTGGAATTAGGGTTTTCTAACTCCCCTTAGTGAGTTCTTCGTACTCACCAGCTTGGTTTAAGCTTCGGCCAGACTTTCGCTCCTAATCCTCGCAGTTTCGTAAACAGCATCCCCCCCGCCACAGTAAGGCAATGTGTAGGTTTTTCTGGGCAGTAGGTATAACACGAGTGGTCATATGGGAGCATTTCGAGGAGAGCGAATTCACTTCACTCTCGGCCGTTCCAGGAAATTTGGTGGCTCGCAATAGACGAAATTAAACATTCCTAGGTTGTCAGTAGTCTAACTGTTTCCATTTTATTGAGCTATTTTTCGCAACTGTATTTTTCTCAAACATCTGTTTTGTAGGCCGTTCCCTGTGCTCGTTCAACACTTCCCTGAATTTAGTTCCCGTGATGTACATGGCAATTATGTGGACTGTGCCCGTTGGTTCGGCTCCTTAGTCATATCGAAATCGTGTGAAAACAGTGTTACACTCTGGAAGCCTGGTGGACTAGATGACTCCTCAGCAAATATACCTAGTTTGTGCAATGGATCTCCTAGTAGTACCTCAACAGATGTTGGCGGCCTGCGGTTGCCGAGTCGGATGCAACACATTGGTTCATATACAGGTCCTGATTCCCTTATCCCTCCAGCACCTGGTGTCCCAACGGAACACAAGACCAGCATTATCCATCAATTAAAAGCTGCTGACTGTAACTTATGGTATATTCGTTTCGATGTGGATTTAAAGAATCATGTTCTTGCTTTGGGCACAGGAACTGGTCCATCGCGTGTCTATTTGTGGGATTTAAAATATCCTGAAAACGCTCTCAATCTCCCAGCTCAAGTACTTCATTTTCCTACAGTTAGTGGAGTTGGTCCTGGTGGTATGCCTTTAAGTCATAGTGCCATTAGACAAACTCGTTTTGCTAATGATGGAGATATTCTTTTGTGTGTAGGTGATAACGGACTAATTGTTAGATTTGATAAAACATAAACTTTTTTGTATATTTGTGATTAAAACTAATCTAATATATCAATAAAATGTTTTTTTCTTGTAATAACTATTGTTTTCTCTTTATGATATTGTGAACAGTAGTTGACGCAATCACAATATCCGTATTTATTTTCTGTTAGTTAGGACACACTGTGTACTGGAAAAAGAAAGAATATATGTGGAATCGATGTTAACCCAAATGTTTAGTGTAATTGATAAAAACCTCATCTCCAATATAAAGATTATTATCAATTATACTTAAAATATCGATAGGGAGTTTAACAACTGTTGTCGGATATCGAAATTTGTATCTGTGCTCTAGAACCTGACAAAGTGTGAATATTTATATGTATAGACCAAATTTTCTCACTGCGGTAGCTCCCATAACGTAGGCACACATTTCGAAGTCCTACAATAATCGTATTCCTTGGCTTCAAGGCGGCATTTAACTATGTTGATCGTGGGGTTCTGTGGCAGTGTCTGTCATTAAAATATGTGCCAAAGAAGTACATTAACCTCATACAAGCTCTCTAATCGAACACTACTGGTCGAGTTACTTCTTATGGCGAAATGTTATTGGAATTGATTACTTTCAGTGTTATTCGTCGGGGTTGTCCACTTTCTCCATTCTTACTCAACTTCGTTACTGACGGTAAGTCAACGCTTTCATCGTCTGGATATTTATGAGCTGACCTTCTAGCAGAAGATTTACTTATTGAGTTAGAATATGCAGATAAAATAGTGCTATTTATTGAAGACACTGACAAAATGACTACCCTAAGCAACCATACAAGCGTGTTCGGGATGCGATTCTCCTCCTCAAAATGCAGAATGTTGCTTCAGGGTTGGCTTGTGGTGATGTGGAGTGGAGTAGTTGAGTGTGCTGACCGTTCCACTTGTCTCGGTAATCTCATCAGTGCTGATGACCTGGTGTCTGACAAAATCTCGGCACAGATACAGAAGGCTAGACTGGCTTTTGCCAATTGACGTCACTTATGGCGTAGGAGAGATATCCGTGTACTAAAAAATGAGTTCACAGCGCATCAGTTTGTTCCGTCCTACAAAATGGCTGTGAAATATGACCAGTAAGAAGGATATTCGTAGGTTACCAGCACTACATCTTTGGTGTCTTTGCTCGTTTATCCTGGGAAATCCGAATAAGCAATCCGTTTGTTAGGAGACGGGTACTTGGTAAGGATGACAAACCAATTAATGAAGTAGTGAATCTTCTTCAGTTGATGTGGTTTGGAAATGTATTGCATATGCCTAACCAACAACTTCCCCGACGAGCGTTGATGTCTGATGTAGGAGTAAGCTGAAAAAAACGATGGGTGACCGGACGAAAACACGGCACATATCCATGAAGTCACTGACTACTAGACTGAGCCATGTTAGTAAGTGTAGACTGCCGGGTTGGGTCTGCAGGACAAAAGTAACCGATGTTTAAAGACTTTGAATGACATGGCTCAAAATCGCCTGCAATGGTGCAGGCGCATCCATATTTTCTTTCCTCAAATTATAATCCTCTGAATTCTTCATATCCTTTCCCTTTTCAATTTACTTTCGTGGGATATACTTCTTGCATAATATCTCCGAACACTAATCATCTCCATTACCGCTAATATTTCTACCACTATGGACTGTGACTTGACAATTGCATGTGGTATGGCAATCTGAATTGGTGCATGTACGTACCAAGTTTTACGTTGTTATTATCTGACATGACAGCATTGATACGGACATTAAAGCATTTCAAGCAATTTTATTTAAGGTAGAACAAATGAAAATTACTGCTGAATATAATTTCTGTAATAGCGTTAATGGTTTCTACAATATCTCCTTTATATATTAATGACCTATAAGCTATTCTCAATTTCAGTTTTATGAAGTTTATAGTTCATCGTTTCTTGCATTAAGCTATTCCTTCATGGTTTTCAAGCTTAACGAAAAATAGAATTTTATTGTTATTTGTATCGTTTTAATGTAATCATTACCCAGTCAGTTTGCAAAACCTTTGACGACTACATGTATTCTTTTTCTGTCATCAATGTCAGTTTAACTCTGTATCTCCGTATATCTTGGGACTATCATGTAATCAATGCTGTCGTTAGGAAACTTTTACCAGTAAGGATGACAAATCAGTTGATGAGGTACTGAATCTTCATCAGTTGAGTTGGTTGGGACATGTATTAGTTGGATAAATTTCAAAAAATTAATATATATAAACTGAGAAAATAGTTTTTGAAAACATGACTTTATAACACGTAATTTAAGCTTCTTCATTAGATGTGTAAAAGTGATGATTGTCATGTACACAGACAGATGTGTCCTACTGACTCTGTACTTCTAGAAATTATTCTTTTTCAGATAACTTACAAGCTCGTGTATTTACATAATGATAAATTTACTTATGCCTATTACCCCTCGTTCAGCTTAGGCCGCCAACCAACATTCTACAACTAACTTTGTCCTGGACCTTCGTTTTCAGTGCTACTCAATTGTTATTCATTCTTTTTACGTCGGCTTCTAATCCTTTGCGTAATGTTTTTTGGCCCTCCTCTTTTCTACTGTCTTTGAATATTCCAAGTTAGGGATTTCCTTGTGACGCATTTGGGTGATGTGTCCTATTCACCTCCATTTTCCTGAATTCCTCCTTTACTGGATACCGTATTTTCGTACTATCATTTTGATCCAGTAAGTCGAAAAGATTACTGAATATCAATCAAATTAGTAACTTTAGGTACACACATTATAAACTTGATGATTCAACAAAACTAATGAATATATAATTCAGTTTGTAGTGACTCCAATTTTATGAAGAGAACGCGATTGGTTAAATTGATCAATCGCAACGTAGAACTTCGTAAGTACGTAGATCAGTTCATGTTGCCACACCACATTAACACTGAGATGTAATTGTCAGTTCCGATCCACTAGTAGTAGAGGTATTAAAAGTAGTCGGAGAGGTTAGGATAAGAAGAAGTAGAATCTAGAGAAATAAACTTGGTAAGATAAAGTGTTGAAGAATTAAGAAGTTTAGGATTTGAGAGAACACAAAGAGTGGATGTACCTGCGCCATTGCAAACGATTCTGAGTCATGTCGTTCAAGGTCTCAAACAATCGGTGACTTCCGCCTCGCGAACCCCAACCAGGTAGTCTACATCTACCAACATGACTCAGTCCGCTTGTCAGTGATTTCATGGATTTGTGCCATGTTTTGTTCTGGCCGCCCCTTACTTTCTTCCAACCTGCTCCTACACCACTAAACAAAGCTCGTCGAGGCAGTCGGTGGTCGGGCATTCGTAACATATGTCCCAACCACACCAACTGATGAAGATTCCATACTTCATCTAATGACCTACAACCCATACCTAGTACTCGTTTCCTAAAGACAGCATTGCTTACTCAGTAGTCCCAGGATACACGAGCATTGCTTCGAAGAAACCTATGATCGAAAACCAGCAATCTGAGAATATCTTCTACTCCCATTGGCCATGATTCACAACTATATAGGAGAACGGAGAGAACTACTGCGCAGTACACTCGTCCTTTGGTTAGCGAACGGACATCTCGCCTACGCCATAAACGGCGTAAATTGGCAAAAGTCAATCGAGCCTTCTGTATCCGTGCTGAGATTTCGTCAGTCACCAGACCATCAGCACTGATGAGACTCCCCACGTAAGTGAAGCGGTCCACACGTTCGACTACTTCACTCTCTATCACTAGTTCAGGTGCCGATAAAACCCAATCTTGAAGCAACATTTTGCATTTCGAGGGGGAAAACAGCGTTCGGAACATGCTTGCATTGTTGCTTAGGGTAATCAGAAGACTCCATTTTGTCAGCGTCTTCACCAAATAGAAATATATCATCGGCATATCCTAGGTCAGTATGCGATCCTCCTGGTAGAAGTTCTACCCCTAAAATTATCAGATGAGGATAATGTTATATCTAGAAGCATGTCTATGACAAAGTTAAACTGGAATGGTGAGATTGGACATCCCTGACGGACACCATTTGAAGTAACCAATTCCGATGACAGTTCGCCATAAACTCTCACCCGACCTGTAGTGTTCGAGTAGAGAGCTTGTATAAGGTTAATGTACTTCTCTGGTACACCTTTCAATGACAGATACTGCTACAGAACCTCACGATACACAAAGTCGAATGACGCTTGAAGGTTGAGTATACTACTATTGTGCGACGTCCGAACCTGTCTTTGTTCCAGGTCCTGTCGTTACGTGAAGATGTGGTCAATACAGCCATGTACAGATCTGAAACCAGCCTGGTTCTCTCGAGTCTGCCCTTCACGAACTCTAGTTTTAAGCGTCTAATGATAATCGAGGCCAACAATTTAGAAACTATATTAGACTGATTCCCCTGTTGTTGTCACAAGATATTTGTCCTTTCTTATAAATTTGGACAATCACGTATTGAAACCAGTCGGATGGAATTACGTCCAGTTCCAGTTAAGAATGAATGATACGACCATCCTTTACAGTGGTAGTCTCGCCTAGGTAAGAAAGCCTGTTGCCCTACATAACACAACGTTCGAACATTCGAACGGGGTTTTAGGGGACAAGGAATAACGTCTCGTGGACCTGAATTGTTTGCATTAGCAGTGCGGGTTGATACAGATACGTGATAAGGGTTATTCGTGGAGGTAAGAGAGATGTTAGGAAGCGTATGAGGGATTTGATTGTGACCAATTTGGTCCCGTGTGCTGTTACGGGTATGAAGGCGGTTGTCACTTCTCAGGTGCCCACACCTTGAAATAGCAAGTAGATTAGCATTGTTCTTAGAGACCACAGACTTCGAGAGACAATCGCTGGAGGCCAGTCACGCATGGCATTTTCATGAGCATTGGAATCGCTAGCTGCGCTCTTGCTTACAAGGCCTTACCGCCGGAGACGGAAATCCGTGAGGTAAGGTGAGGTGTGGCATTTTTAGGGTCGATGTTTTGTAACTCCCTCCTTCTTTGTGGGCATGCTGCGTCTCTGTAGAATTTGGTTGTCCGAGGGAAACGTCTTACTTCTGTCACACCCCTGTGCAGTCAGCAGTAGGACTTCGCCCTCAGAACTTGAGTAGCTGCTTTTCGTCTCAGTGTTCTCCAATCGACGTTGCAACATCGAAGTAATCATGAACATCTTCAAGTGTTTGACATCCTACTTATCGATGACAGCTCTCTTGATTTACCATAGAGAATAATGCAGTCTTTAAACATTCTTCAGCTAAAATGCATTGTTATTTAGAATGTTTTTCTTCTTACGTATGCAAAATATTGCTTCACAATTGTCTTTTATTGAGTGATAAACATCTTTATATATCCTGAAAGTTTCATCAGCCCAGATAGTTTGGTTTCTGATAAAATCTTAGCATTAATTAAGTGAGTTAAATTGATTATGACCATCTGGCATCCATAGTGGCCTAAGCCGTATATTTGTCTTTAAACTTAAAGGAGTGTATAATCCACTTCATTCTAGAATGTGGATGTGAAACAGCTTAACGTTTTTAGCTACTGGCCACTTTGTTGGAGGTTATGCGTTACCTAGTTGGATATACTAATTAGTATTGGAATCTTTGGAGATGATGAGGAAGCGTTTGCTTATAACCTCATTTTGGATTTTCCATCTGAACACTATTAACATATAACATTCTGATTTATATTATCCAGCATAATTCAGTCTTTCTCAAAATAACTAAATGTATAGACTTCAGATCATATTGGTATATATATTTCTAAATTTGTCTTCTTACAGTAAAATATTCTGGCAATTTTGATGCGTGCACGCTTTAAAAAGACGAAGCTGACTTTGAAATATGTATGGTTTTTAAGGCTACAGTTGTTTTAAAACGTAAAAAATGAGCATTCTCTGTGGATTTCCGTTAAAAATGAACTTGGACGCTTAGTTAAAGTACTAAGTAACAGTAATTTGATTTCATTTGATTGTAATACGAGTTACTAACTTGTGTGAAATTAACACACTGATTCCAAAGAAAACTCAAGATATGTAACAGAACTTGAGGCTTACTTACTTACTTACGCCTGCAGCATAGGCCGCCCACCAGTTTTCTCCAACCAACCCTGTCCTTGGCTTCCCTTTCCAGTTCTGTCCAATGTTTGTTCATTCTTCTCATATCTTTCTCTATTTCTCGGCGTAATGTGTTTCTTGGCTCTCCTCTTTTCTTGTTGCCTTGAGGGTTCCAAGTGAGGGCTTGTCTTGTGGCGCTGTTAGGTGCTTTTCGTAGTTTGTGTCATATCCACTTCACCCGCTTCTTCCTGATTTCCTCCTCCACTGGAATCTGGTTTGTTCTCTCCCACAGTACGTTGTTGCTGATGGTGTCTGGCCAACGAATCCGAAGTATTTTGCGTAGACAACTGTTAATAAACACTTGTATCTTCTGGATGATGCCTTTCGTAGTTCTCCAAGTTTCCGCTCCATACAGTAGAACTGTCTTGACATTTGTATTGAAAATCCTGATTTTGGTTTTGGTTGAAAGTTGTTTGGAGTTCCAGATAGTTTCAACTGTTGAAATGCAGCCCTTGCTTTTCCAATCCGCGCCCTCACATCTGCATCGGATCCACCTTGATTGTCAATGATGCTGCCCAGATATGTAAAGGTGTTAACGTCATCCAAGGCATCCCCATCAAGAGTGATTTGGTTGGTGCACGTGGTGTTGCATCGGAAAATTTTGCTTTTTCCTTTATGTATGTTGAGACCTGCTGCTGCATACTGCTGCTACACTGGTCCTCTTCTCTTGCACTTGTTGATGCGTGTGCGATCGAAGATCCAGGTCATCTGCGAAGTCCAGATCGTCCAGCTGCGTCCTAGCTGTCCACTGTATACCGTGTTTCCCTCCAGATGTTGACGTCTTCATAATCCAATCGATTACCAGAAGAAAGAGAAAGGGTGAGAGTAAGCAACCTTGCCTGACACCAGTCTTCGCCTCGAAAGAGTCTGTTAGCTGTCCTTCGTCCTTTTGCAGTTGAATCCATCATAAGGATTCCGTGTGACGTTAACCATTTTCTCAGGCACACCGTGGTGTTTTCCTATCCACGCTATCAAATGCTTTCTCATAGTCGATGAAGTTGATGTAGAGTGGTGAGTTCTATTCTATTGATTGCTCCACAATGATCCGTAATGTAGCAATTCGGTCAGTACACGATCGATCCTTACAAAATCGAACCTGTTGATCTACGAAGTCCTTCATTCTGTTTGCCTGATATTGCGAGAAGAGTGATGCCTCTGTAGTTCTCACACTTGCTGAGATCGCCTTTCTTTGGTATTTTGATGAGGTATACTTCTTTTCAGTCTAATAGTACATGTTCTTCATCCCAAATCTTCTTGAAGAGAATGTGAACTATTTTCGCAGTTGCTTCCACATCTGCTTTCATTGCCTCTGCTGGAATGTTGTCTGGTCCTGCTGCTTTGCCACTCTTGATTTGTTTGCTGGCCATGCTAATCTCCTCAATTGTAGGTGCGCCAATATTAATTGGGAGGTCCGTGGATGCTGCTTCGATGTTGGGTGTGTTCAGCGGAGCTGGTCGATTCAAGAGTTCCTTATAGTGCTCTACCCACCTGCCTCGCTGTTCCTCAATGTTTCTGATTGCTTTGCCTTCCTTGCTTTTCACTGTTCGTTCTGGTTTACGATGGTTTCCGGCGAGCTTCTTTGTTGTATCGTACAATTGTCTCATGTTTCATTCTCTTACAGCCTTTTCCGCCGTCATTGCTAGATCTTCCACATAGTTTCGTTTGTCGGCTTTGATGCTCTTCTCCACTTTCCTGTTCGCTTCTGTGTATTTAGCTTGTGCCTTAACTTTCTCTGCTCTTGTTCGGCTGACATTGATTGCTGCCCTCCTTTTACTCCTTTCTTTAATTTTTGCAAAAGTACCAACAGAGATCCAATCCTTGTGATGGTACTTCTTGTGACCCAGAACTTCGTGACATGATGAAGTGATTGCCTTCTTGATCCGTTTCCAATTGTTCTCCTATTTTGGTTCTTACATCCTCCATAGTCCTTCTGAACTTTTTGTTGATATAGATATGATCAATTTGGTTTTGAGTGGTGTGGTCCGGTGAAATCCATGTGGCTTTGTGAATGCGCTTGAGTTGGAATATTGTGACACCGATGACTAGTTTTTTGAAGGAACAGAGGTTTGAAAATCTCTCACCGTTTTCGTTTCTTTCTCCCAGTCCATGTCGTCTCATGATGTCTTCATATCCAGTGTTGTCCATTCAAACCTTGACATTCAGGTCTCCCATCAGAATCGTCAAATCCTTTGGTGAGCGTTTCTCGACGATTAACTGTAGCTTTTCGTAAAATTGATCTTTAACGTCATCACTGTAGTCGTTGGTAGGTGCATAGCATTAGATGAAGTTCATTGTCATGTCCGCTTTCTTTGTTTTGAAGGATGCTTTGATGATCCTGGGTCCATGAGATTCCCATCCTATTAGTGCCTTTTGTGCATGTTTGGACAGCATCAGTGCAACTCCTTGTGTATGTGAAGCATTTTCCTCTTCATGACCAGAGTATAACAGCAGTTCCCCTGAAGCTAGTCTTAGTTGTAGTACCTGTGTCCAATGCGTTTCACTGATGCCGAGAACCCTGAGGTTGTATATTTTCATTTCTGCCGCAACTTGAAATAGTCTTGCAGTCTCCCACAATGTACGAACGTTCCATGTACCTAAAAGAATGGTAGCTCTGGTTGTCAGAAGAGACATCGGCCTCGTGACTTCCGAGGGAACTCGGCTTTCATCACGAGACGTCATAATTCTTCCTCCAACTCCCAGGGCAGAGTTAAAATGGTTTGAATTATTTTTTCTGGTTAGCGTTTTTTGGCAAGTTAGTTTTTTGGTGGTATAGGGTCGCCAACCCCATGCCCAACGCTCCTAGTTTATCCGGGCTTGGGACCGGCAGTAGCCCCGAAGATCCTACTGCCGGAGTTCAGAAGTTGAGGCACGTAGTTTTAAATATATCGGGTTCGGGTCTCTTAGACGGATAGACTTCATTTTCTCTTTGATGGGTTATCGTGGCATGTTTGAGATAATATGGAAGCTACGATATGAGATCAATCGGTGTGTAGGAAGGCAGACGTGGATGTTTTGGCATATTAATAGGATTTGGAAATGTGTCGAGTCAAGATCACTAATACGCACGAAGTACATGCCCGTCACAAAGAAGAAGAGTTAATCCATATTAAAGAATATATTTGCTGGCGATTTCGTGGTGTCGAAGGAATACCGAAAGCGTTCCACAGAAAAAGGGAGAAGTTACAGCGAGTAGTGTAACCAAAATGACAGTGACACAAACAGAAAGTTTTCGCGTACAGAGTAGGAATAAAGAGAAAGTAGAGGAAACGACCACTGGTACCATTCGTTATGACAATGAATGTCTCTGTTAAACCAATCACGTTCTCTCCATTAAATCGAAGTCACAGCAATTTCAAAGTGAACAACGATTCTGCTGATTTGGGCACATAAATATCTATAAACGTATTGAGACCACTGTAATATCAACAAATCAACCGCTCTGAATAGTTCTTAAATTTTTAGGATAGTTGGAACTCAAAGGATGTTGATTGCACTGTTGGGCACAATTGTTTCTCTTAAAATCACTGGCAATCCCCATCAATTCAACTCATAATGTGAAGCTTTACAGCGAATGTTAGAACATGGTACAAAATCAGTATTTAATTTAATGCTCTGTAACCTTATTTGTTTCAGTGCTCTAAAAGCATCTTAGCTCGTCAAAGGTCATTTGTGCTGATTGGCATTTCTGTTTGTCAGTTTAAACCTGATGAGTTCGTGCTCTAGTTTCGAAGGTGATGGCTCGCAGTCATTTCCTGAAAGGAACACGTTAGGCGGAGATAATATTGGACACGAGGGAAATATTCTTACTCCATTTACCTACCAATGTAGGATTTCAAAGTTGCAGTATTTAAAGGTGCTGGTTGACATTAATGAATATTTCTGGTTTAGATGTACTTAATCACTGTCACAATACTTCCTTTTCGAGTTTTGGTGTTTCTATTACTTTTCGCTTTTACGCTTCTTATGTCGAATATAGTATCAATTGGGTACGACGTGAAATCTCACACAAAACCTATCTGCGACTTCAGAAGGTATCATAATTTAACCTGTCGTTACTTTTAGGTGGCTTCTCTTGCCAATCATACGTATGTCTGCTAGATTCGTCTTCTTTATTGGCGGGTTCCATTGGATTAAATTTCAAGGAGTACGTGCATCACGCAAAGAAGCTCCTATCCTGGTTATTGCACCCCATTCGTCCTTCCTTGACGCTCTTGTTGTTGTGGTTCTTGGCCTGCCCTCAATTGTTGGAAAGACGGAATCAGCTGAGTCTTTTGTTGGTGGATTCCTCAGAATGCTTCAGCCTATTTTGGTTAACCGGGAAGATCCTAATTCTAGAAAAACAGCAATTCGAGAGCTTATTCGCCGTGCAAAATCAGAGGACGATTGGCCTCAGATTGTTATTTTTCCCGAAGGCACTTGCACCAATCGAAGCTGTATCGCCAAATTCAAATCAGGTAATTATTACTTTTATTTATTACAAGCGAATAAAATTCATAAGTTTTTTTCCTCATGCCACTATTGGAAGCACATGGCATACTTATTGGCTGTCGTATTAATATGTGCTATCGATGGGCCGTAGTTAAGTTGCTGTTTGTGTATTCAAAATTCGTTCCAAAATCCAGGTATTCTGAAATTGAATAGTAGGTACCCATTAGATTTATGATTACACGTTATGCATCCTAACGACTTAATGTAAACCGATATTGCTTTTATTTTACCTCAGATTGATATTTCAAGGAGTAGTTGATAAAGTCTAGGCATCGTTTATCAATCCTCATCATACTGTCAAGGGATAATTCAGACAAACGTAACTACAAACCTTGGTATCTGTCATGTTTACATCTTATTATTCTAAATCCGACTGGTTTCAATACGTGATTGTCCAAATTTATAAGAAAGGACAAATATCTTGTGACAACAACAGGGGAATCAGTCTAATATAGTTTCTAAATTGTTGGCCTCGATTATCATTAGACGCTTAAAACTAGAGTTCGTGAAGGGCAGACTCGAGAGAACCAGGCTGGTTTCAGATCTGTACATGGCTGTATTGACCACATCTTCACGTAACGACAGGACCTGGAACAAAGACAGGTTCGGACGTCGCACAATAGTAGTATACTCAACCTTCAAGCGTCATTCGACTTTGTGTATCGTGAGGTTCTGTAGCAGTATCTGTCATTGAAAGGTGTACCAGAGAAGTACATTAACCTTATACAAGCTCTCTACTCGAACACTACAGGTCGGGTGAGAGTTTATGGCGAACTGTCATCGGAATTGGTTACTTCAAATGGTGTCCGTCAGGGATGTCCAATCTCACCATTCCAGTTTAACTTTGTCATAGACATGCTTCTAGATATAACATTATCCTCATCTGATAATTTTAGGGGTAGAACTTCTACCAGGAGGATCGCATACTGACCTAGGATATGCCGATGATATATTTCTATTTGGTGAAGACGCTGACAAAATGGAGTCTTCTGATTACCCTAAGCAACAATGCAAGCATGTTCCGAACGCTGTTTTCCCCCTCGAAATGCAAAATGTTGCTTCAAGATTGGGTTTTATCGGCACCTGAACTAGTGATAGAGAGTGAAGTAGTCGAACGTGTGGACCGCTTCACTTACGTGGGGAGTCTCATCAGTGCTGATGGTCTGGTGACTGACGAAATCTCAGCACGGATACAGAAGGCTCGATTGACTTTTGCCAATTTACGCCGTTTATGGCGTAGGCGAGATGTCCGTTCGCTAACCAAAGGACGAGTGTACTGCGCAGTAGTTCTCTCCGTTCTCCTATATAGTTGTGAATCATGGCCAATGGGAGTAGAAGATATTCTCAGATTGCTGGTTTTCGATCATAGGTTTCTTCGAAGCAATGCTCGTGTATCCTGGGACTACTGAGTAAGCAATGCTGTCTTTAGGAAACGAGTACTAGGTATGGGTTGTAGGTCATTAGATGAAGTATGGAATCTTCATCAGTTGGTGTGGTTGGGACATATGTTACGAATGCCCGACCACCGACTGCCTCGACGAGCTTTGTTTAGTGGTGTAGGAGCAGGTTGGAAGAAAGTAAGGGGCGGCCAGAACAAAACATGGCACAAATCCATGAAATCACTGACAAGCGGACTGAGTCATGTTGGTAGATGTAGACTACCTGGTTGGGGTTCGCGAGGCGGAAGTCACCGATTGTTTGAGACCTTGAACGACATGACTCAGAATCGTTTGCAATGGCGCAGGTACATCCACTCTTTGTGTTCTCTCAAATCCTAATCTTTTGGATTGATCAACACCTCTGCCCTTTGTCTTCCTATACTTATCTCACTGAGTTTCTTTTTGGATCCCTAATCGTTTCCTTTACTAGTAGTACATTTGCTATCTCTACCACTGTGGAATTTGAATTTAAAATTGCGTCTCTGTGCGTCTGTACACCTGAACTGATGTACGTACTAAGTTGTACGATGTAGCTGACTGACTGAAAATGTATCTGCACATCTTAAGTCCTGTGCTACTACTTCCACTGTTTTCAAAGTTCAATTTGATGAAGACCCTGACGCAACGCAGTTTTTTGACCACCCTAAGCAACAGTGCAAGCATGTTTGCGATGCGATTCTCCCCCTCGAATTGCGAAATGTTGATTTAGGATTAGCGTACATCAAGACCGGAACTAATGATAGGGAGTGAAGTAATTGAGCGTGTTGACCGCTTCACGTATCTCGAGGGTCTCATCACAGCTAATGTCCTCATGTGTTACGAAATTTTAGGGTGGATACAGTAGGTTCGATTGTCATCCTTGCTTAGCACTCGTTTCATAACGACAGTATTGCTTACTTCGTTGTCCCAGGATACACGAGCAATGCATCTAAGACACCAGTGATCAAATACTAGTAACCCACAAATATAGTCAATTACTGGGCCATGTTTCGCACCTATATAGTAGGACCGAGTAAACTGCTGCTCAGTAGACTCATCCTTTGGTTAGCGAATGGATATCTCGCCTACGCCATAGGTGACGCAAAATGTTAAAAACCAATCAAACCTGTATCCACGTTGAAAATTTGTCAGACACCAGGCCATCAGCACTGATGAGACTCCCGAGATAAGTGATGTGGTCAACACGCCCAACCGCTCCACTTATCGCTAATTTAGGTGCCGACACAAAACAATCTTGTATTTTGAAGGCGGAAACAGCACCTCGAACATGGTGGCATTGTTGTTGAGGATAGTCAGGAGACTGCTTTTGTCAGCGTCTCCAAGTAGAACTGTCATCGGCATACTCCAAGTCAACAAGCGAGTATCCTGGTAGAAGGTTCACCCGTGGAAAGTCAGAAGACGATAATGATAACTCAAAAACAATGTTTACGACAAAGTTAAACAAGAATGTAGAAAGCGGACATCCCTGACGGACACTACTTGGAGTAATCAATTCCGATGACAGTTTACCATAAGCTGTAACTCGATCAGTAGTGTTCGAGTAGAGAGTTTGTATAAGGTTATTGTACTTCTTTGGTACACCTTTTAATGACAGACACTGCCATGTGTTACACATTCCAAACCACCGACTGCCTCAATGGGGAATGTTTTGCAGTTTAGGAGTAGATTGAAAGATTGCTAGGGTCGTCCAGACCAAACTATGTCTCAAAACCGCCAGGTCTCTGACTATGGGACGGAGCCTTGCGAACAGTTTGTTGTCCACTGGAATGTAGGATAAGACTAGCACAAACAAGGACATAATTAGGGTCTAGATAAGTACTCTAAAAGGAGCGACAGTCGATGTACATAAACAAAAAATTGTGGCTGTTTGCGACGGGATCGCTGTGGGTAAAGCTTTAAGGTAGAGAGGGTGGACGCCAGGTAGTAAGTACATCGGCGATGATTGCCGAGAGTTCTACCTAGAAAAAGGTTATAATATGTGCAAATCTGCAGTATACAGTGGCGCAGTCTGACCTGCAACTGACAAGTCTCCATGGCCACCAGTCGACCGTCTGCGTCTAGACACCAGACGTACGCCTTCCAATCTCCGACCAGTATTTTAGTCTGTCAAACACCCTCTCTGTAGATTATTCAATTGATTCTATAGCTCATCTTTTATTGCATTCAGGCAGCAATTTGTTAGATCTTAGGTAGAGGTAACGTAAATATATTGTTTCATCACGATTTGGTTGAGTTTTCTAATTTAACAGCACATAGTCGACTTTTATGGGGATCCTGTTTATTGGCTCTGCTTTAGCTCTAACGCTTAGTGTGATACCAGCAGGACAACACTAGGTCGCCACGGGGTTGCCTGAGTAGACGCACGCAAAACAAGTTCTTCAAAGTGACAGATGGAGGAAAATATGTGGTACTTCAGTAGAGTTCGGGGTATGTATCTCAGAAATGTTGCGGAAGTCGGTATTTTTAAAGACATATTCAGTCTTGTCTGTTGTCCGGTCCGAATGATGGATGCTGATTTGAACAGCACATGAGGTTTGCAGACAACTTGTTGAGAATTTGTTTTTGACAGCAGCATTCAGCTTTCGTCTGGTCGACGACGTGAGATGTTTAGACAGGACTGAATTCCCATAACCAGCGGGCTCGTGTATGAGCTAAAGAGTAAGGAGTGCGAAAATGGGATTAAAGAAAGGGACAAGTAATGCAGTGTAAAATAATAACGAATATTACCAAACAAATGTGAACTGAATTCATGGTGCTGGATAATCAGCTAAATACGTCTTCAGCTGGTACTTCGTTGTGAAATAATACTCTGTGGACGAATACTGGTCTAGTGCGTCGCTTAAGATTTTTGTGCGTTGGATCATCGTTTACATGTGTTCCACCTTTACTATTCATTCAATGAGCCATGAAAATCTTTTACATCACTACATATCACAGCTTCAAATTTTATGGGGTAGGTGCATATTTTGGTATTCTGGATAAATTATATACAAACTCTCCCCTTGAACCCGTGTCCTAGTGATTGTTTAGCTAAAATCAATAGTTTTTTAAACGGAAACCGATTTCGACTGTTAAATGCTTCAGTGGATTTGGAACACCTATCCTTAATCAGTGGATAATTGATTCGGAACAGACTAAATGCCTTACTTCAATACTGTTTATGACATTAAAAAGTAGTTTCAAAGTTTCAGTTGTCGTCTGCTCAAACTTATTGCATGGTCAAAGCATATAATGGAATAATTAGATATAGAGTAATGAAATCTTCAAGCTATTTAGGGATTTTACGTAGAAACAAAGTAGTCGTCATATGAATTTGAAATTTGTTTTTTCCTCAGGGGCCTTCAATGCGGGTGTACCAGTTCAACCAGTAATCGTTCGTTGGCCAAATAAAGTGGTAAGTGAAGTATGATATTGTTTGTATACTATGATACTAATCCACGATGATAGAAATTTTTTCGAAATAAGATTCATCCCTTTACTGAATTTCGTCACATAACGAACGTAACTGAAAATATTGCATTTTCAAGACTTGATCTTGTACTTCTGTGTTTCCCGATCATTTTTTATATTACTGATGTACAAACAATTCATAATTCTGTAAGAAAACGCTGAGCAAGCTTCTCAGTCGAGTGTTAAATATTTGAAATTTGGTGGTACTGACGAATAACTGCGACTGTTACTTAATTACAGTCAGTTTTTCCTGTTATTGATGATTTTATCCTATTTCTCTGATGAAACCTTACAAGCCTTCCAAATTTTAAATCTCGATTAAACTGGTTTTATATCCAATAAGTTTTAAAAATTAGTTTTTGATCTCTTGTCTTATATTTACTCCTCACAAAAAGGTTGTGTAAACCTCCGTATCTTATGCAACCTAAGTTTATGCGCAATTGCTGTCAGGGATGTTTTTTCATCTTATTATTTTACAGAATTTGACACTTATGGCAGTTCCTCCTAGTCAGTTCCGCCTTCTGAATCCTATTTGTTTCTCTGGCTGGTCGTTTTGGTGTTTCTTACCTTAACTCTTACGTGAGACGACCACACCCAATGTTCAGATCAAGTAACCTGAGGCTAACCTACTGTGGCATATAACAAATCAGCTTTCAGCTAAGAAGGAAATCATGAAAAGATGTTGATGGTGGATGGAACATGACTTACTTACGCCTGTTACCCCCAGTGGAGGGAGCATAGGCCACCGACTAGCGTTCTCCAACTTACTCTCTCCTTTGCCTTTTATCTCGGTTCCATCTAATTGGTTCATTCTTATCATATCTGGCTCCATTTCTAGGTGTAGTGTTTTCTCTGGTCTTCCTTTGGCCTTGAGGATTGCAAATTAGGGCTCGTATTATTGTGATGCAGTTAGGTGCTTACCTCAATTTGTCCTATCCACCTCCAGCGCTTTTTCCCAGTTTCGTGAGCCAGACCACTGACTGTCAAACGATCGTCAATGTCTTGCGCAGACAGCCGTTGATGAATACTTGTATCTTCCGGATGGTGGCTTTCGCACTTACAGGTTTCCACCCCATACAGTAGAACTGTCTTGGAAATGCTGACTTTGGTGTTGGTTGATGGTTGTTTCGAGGGCCGCACATTTTCCAATTGTAGAAATGCTGCCCGTGCTCTGCCATGAGGCTGCCTATATATGTAAGGTTTTTACACCGTCCAAAGGTTCTCCACTAAGTCGTTTAGTTATGTCCTAGTTGTCCACTGTATTTCGTGCATTCCCCCCAGATATTGACGTCTTCGTAATCCAGTCGATCACCAGGATGAAAGAAAGGGTAAGAGTAAGCAACCTTACCCAACACCGGTCTTCACTTCGAACGTGTCTGTGAGCATCTGCCTTCCATGAATGATTTTTCATTTTAATCCATCACAAGAGTTCCGTATGGTGACTATCTTCTCAGACACGCTGTAGTGTGGAAGAAGTCTCCATAGTTTCATCCTGGCCATGCTGTCAAGTGCTTTCTCGTAGTCAATGAAGTTTTTTTGGGGTGGTACGTTCCATTGATCCGTAATGTTGCAATTCGGTCGGTACATGATCTATTCTTGCAGAATCCAGTCTACTGATCACGAAATTGAGCGTCTATTGAATACTCTATGCGGTTCAACAACAGTCTATCTAGGACTTCCTACTATTGAGAGAAAGGTAATATGTCCATAGTTTTCACACTGTCTTCTTTGGTAATTAGTTGAGGTATCCTCCTTCTCAGCCTTTTGGAACTTGTTCTTCATCCCAAATCTTGTTGAAGAGAATGGAGTAATTTTGAAGTTGCAGCCACGTCTGCTTTCATTGTCTCTGCTGAAATGCTGTCTGGTCCCACTGCTTTGCTACTCTTGATTTGTCTAACGGCCATTCAGATCTTTTCAATTATTGGTGGGTCTGTGTATGCTGCTTAGAAGTTGATGTGTTCGATGGGGTTAGTTTGTTCAAGAATAGTCCGAATTGACAATTTTCATCTTGGTCTGTATTGAGTGATTATCTGAAGCTTTATCAACTCCTCTCTTGGTTCTCGCGTCCTCCATGGTCCTTCTGAACTTTTTGTTGATACAGATATGGTCGATTTGGTTCTTTGTTGTGTGGTCCGGTGAAATCCATGTGGCTTTGTGTATGCGTTTGTGTGGGAATACTGTGCCACCGATGACTAGTTTGTTGAAGGCACATAGGTTTGCAAATCTCTCACCGTTTTCGTTTCTTTCTCCCACTCCATATCGTCCCATGATGTCTTCATATCCAGTGTTGTCCATGTCAACTTTGGCATTTAAATCTTCCATCAGTAATGTCAATTCGTTTATCGGGCGTTTGTCGACGATTGACTGTAGCCTCTCTTATAATTAATCTTAAGCTTCTTCATTGTAGTCGTTGGTGACATCCATTGTAATGTCCTCTCTGTTTGTTCTGAAGGATGTTTTGATGATCCTGGGTCCATGAGATTCCCATCCTATCAGCGCCTTTTGTGCTTGTTTGGACAGCATCAGTGTAACTCCTTGTATGTGTGAAGCATTTTATTCTTCATGGTCGGCGTAAAACAGCAGCTCTCCCGAAGTTTGTCTCAGTCGTCCAACTTGCGTCCAATGCATAACACTGATTCCAATCACCTCGAGGTTATATCTTTCCATTTCAGTAGCAATTTGGAATAGTCTCCCTGTCTCCCACAATGTTCGAACGTTCCATGTACCAAAAAAGAATGGCTGCTCAGGTTGTGAGAAGAGGCATCTGCCTCGTGACTTCCGAGAGAACTCGACTTTCATCGTGAGACGTCATAACTCTTCTGAATGAAGGCCTAACTCCTAGGGCAGAATTAAAGTGGTTTGAATTGTTGTTTCTGGTCAGAGCTTTTTTAGCGAATCACTTTTCTACGGGACAAGGTCAATATACCCATGTCCAACTTGCTTCCTTTATACGCGTTTGGGACCAGCTTAGCCCCAAAGTGGTACCAGCTGTCATTATTACTTTACGAGAATCACCAAACTGCATCACAATGCATTTTCAGCCTCGGAGTTCTCAGAGTAGAGCGAAATGTACGTCTATCAAAATACATGACGTTTTGAATTGAAAACTTATCAAAAGGATGTGTAGTACTTGTCAACTACTCTTCAGGAGAGCAGCTCATGATAGAGTTGATTGTAGTAGATTTTTAGTCAGTAACCTCATGAGTTTAAGCAGGCTTAAGCGAAGTGAAGTGTTGTTGAAGTGATGTAATTTATCACGGGTAGTAATGGTGATCTTGAGAACCACTTTCTATATCCACCCCATATCGTATATCAGCTTATCGAACTTAGAGCGCTTTTGATGGACACGATATTCCTAGGGAGATGCTGACCTGTCTGAGGAATGCAAATGACAAATCTGCAAAAATAGTTCCAACAGTCTTATACCAAATATTTTTATGATTTAAAGTAAATATTTCTGCCTTTCATAGTAATGAAGTGTTGAAGTGTAGATTATGAGGTTATACGAATGTCTGCTTTAGTTTCCATGAACATGTATAGAATAAGATTTCTAAGTATTGCATCTGTATGTGAGTGAGCAACACAGCATTGTTTCATTGTTTATCATTACAATACTAATCCTAAAGCTATATCACGTAACGAGTTAACGAACATGTTATGAAGTGGCTACCGGAGGTTACATACACCAAGTATTTGCTCTTATAATTTCTAACCATTTCTTGTCAACGAATAATTTAGCCTGCTTTAAATAAACTGAGAATAAGATTTGTTAGACGTAGACACTAAAAATTCATTTAAGTTGTTTCTCGCAACTGTCCTTTTCATCCAGAAGCAAGTTTTAATTATAAATTTACCGACTATCGTCTGCTAAAATAATAAGCTGACGTATTATTCTGTTTTTTGCTTATCTGCACATTGTATAACCATTTACTTACATGCCCACTGCCTTACGCATTTAATTTACAAGGCACATGTGATTTGATTGAAATCCTTAAAATTTAATTTAATACTACCCCCCAGTAAGCTTTTGTTTCAAAATTGCATTTAGGTGGTAGAATTATGATTGTTGTAACAGTTTCTCAAATTTCCCTTGCCAAACTTAACTTGGTTAAGGTCTAAAAGGTTAATACAGAATAAAAGTTTGTTTGATTTTGTCGGCTATCGTTTTCTTACATTTCCCAATTAATTAATTTCTAAGCTTTTCTGCATGATGTTTCTCACTTCACTCGTTACTTGACAATGTCATCTATTATTAAAGTGTAAATAAGTATTTTTCTCCTTGTTTTCAGGACAGCGTGACTTGGGTTTGCGAAGGTCCTGGTGTGTAAGTGGTTGTTAGCTGATTGATATTTTTTACTACTATCTATAGGAACTATTCGCCATGAGGTTATGTTTATCTGGCATCAAACTAATAACGAACTACAAATAGTTTTGATTCTTGATTTTATTTTCGCAGATTTACTCGAAACGTATTTATGTACCCATAGTGATGTGTAGCTATATTTGGATAAATGATAGAAGTTTTCGGTTCTTGGACACTATCAATTATGATTGTTTTTGAGAACATTAGTGTCCCGAGTCAAGTTTTTATTTGTAGGAAACGTAATATTGAACAGTAAATTGTCTTTATTGTACATTTAGAAATCACGTTTGTCTCATACGCTGTTTTGTGGCCTTTACTAAACACAATCGCATGAATACAATTCTATATCCACTTATATGTTCCGAACGAATTTTTCTAGAACTAAGATCTCATTGATTTTATTATCTAAATTGATACTAGATGAATGTCTGTCACTGTTAGGTAGACTAAAGTAGGTGACTAGCTATCTTTCAGTACGAAACTGGTATTTAAAAAAAAAGTTTTAACTCATTGGTAAACGTTTTTGTTGGGTTTTCAGGATGACGCCTTTATTCTAATTTTACCAGTGAACTGACATCGCTTCTATCACGTAATTTATTAAATTGATTTGTTTTCTCCTTCCCTAATCAATACCGTCGAAGGTTAAAACTACTTTGGTTGGTGATGTCACAGTTCAACAATAGACTGGAGGTCGAGGTAAGTAGTCTAATTTGTTTAAAAACTAACGAATATTGATAGAAAAACTAATTAAAGTGACAGGGATTTCCTAACTAGTCATTGTCATGCAGATATAGCTAGTAATATAAGCCAGTGACAATCGTAAGGTATTTTCGTATATATAACAGGTGAATAATTTACAGAAAAATTCGATGTAAACACTATCATAACGTAATGAAATATCTGGGAATATTCAATAAAGAGGACTGTTGCTCGTTCTGGAGCACATGTTTAGATTCAGATCATGCCATAGTGCGAGCGCGTATTTGTTTGAGGCTCAATGGACGTAGGAAAGACACCGTAAGGAAGCCTCTTAGGGCTTTACTTAATGATAATCAAACTAAGAAAATATTTCAGGAGCAACTAGAAACAGAGTTAAAAGCAACCATGTGAGCGATTCCCATCCGGAGGCAGGTTGGTATGATATCAAAAAGGCTGTGGAAACAGCAGTGATATCTTTTAGTATGGTAAACCATAAGGCTAGGATGAAGCCGTGGATCTCAATATCATCTACCGAACTGATGGATGCCCGAAAACGCATCCTACCTGGCTCTGAACATGACGAAGAGCGAAGTCAGCCTAGGCGCAGACTGATGTAAAGCCTACGTAACGACCGTGAACAGTGGTGGGTGGCGAAAGCAAAAGCGATTGAAAAGACATCGGCGATAGGCAACAGTAGGCAACTATTTAGACTCATCAAGCAAACTGGTATTAGGAATCCTACTGTTAGTGAGACTATCTCGGAAAAGGATGGGACTATTATTTATTCTCAATCCAGGAGACTGGATCGATGGGCATAACACTTTAGTGATCAGTTCAGCTGGCCTCGAGCCACTTTCCGGTTACCCACGATCTCCAGTCATTCTGAGTGGCAAGTCGACGTAAGCCCTACAAACCTTTATGAAGTTGAAAATACATTAGGAAATGTGAAGCGAGGGAGAGTTGCAGGACCCGATGGATTGACTCCTGAGATATTTAAGGATGGTGGACCAGTATTAGCAACTAGATTGACTGTAATCTTAGGTCGAATCCGGGAACTGGACACAATCCCACCTGATTGTCTCAGTTTGCAAGAAAGGACATAAGTCCTTTTGTGAAAATCACATGGGAATAGGTCTAATTTAGTTTTTAGCCTTGATTGTCCTTCGACGCCTAACTAGTGCTCGTGGAGAGCAGACTCGAAAAAACCAGGCTGATTTCAAACCTAGACATGGATGTATAGACCACATCTTCACAATATGACAGGTCCTGGAACACACACATTTAAGCGTCCTACAATACTTGACTTTTTTGGACCTAAAGGTGGCATTTGACTCTCTGTATCGTGAGGTTCTGCTGCAGTGTCCGTCATTGAAAGGTGTACCAGAGAAGTACATTAACCTTATACAAGCTCTCTACTCGAACACTACAGGTCGGGTGAGAGTTTATGGCGAACTGTCATCGGAATTGGTTACTTCAAATGGTGTCCGTCAGGGATGTCCAATCTCACCATTCCAGTTTAACTTTGTCATAGACATGCTTCTAGATATAACATTATCCTCATCTGATATTTTAGGGGTAGAACTTCTACCAGGAGGATCGCATACTGACCTAGGATATGCCGATGATATATTTCTATTTGGTGAAGACGCTGACAAAATGGAGTCTTCTGATTACCCTAAGCAACAATGCAAGCATGTTCCGAACGCTGTTTTCCCCCTCGAAATGCAAAATGTTGCTTCAAGATTGGGTTTTATCGGCACCTGAACTAGTGATAGAGAGTGAAGTAGTCGAACGTGTGGACCGCTTCACTTACGTGGGGAGTCTCATCAGTGCTGATGGTCTGGTGACTGACGAAATCTCAGCACGGATACAGAAGGCTCGATTGACTTTTGCCAATTTACGCCGTTTATGGCGTAGGCGAGATGTCCGCTCGCTAACCAAAGGACGAGTGTACTGCGCAGTAGTTCTCTCCGTTCTCCTATATAGTTGTGAATCATGGCCAATGGGAGTAGAAGATATTCTCAGATTGCTGGTTTTCGATCATAGGTTTCTTCGAAGCAATGCTCGTGTATCCTGGGACTACTGAGTAAGCAATGCTGTCTTTAGGAAACGAGTACTAGGTATGGGTTGTAGGTCATTAGATGAAGTATGGAATCTTCATCAGTTGGTGTGGTTGGGACATATGTTACGAATGCCCGACCACCGACTGCCTCGACGAGCTTTGTTTAGTGGTGTAGGAGCAGGTTGGAAGAAAGTAAGGGGCGGCCAGAACAAAACATGGCACAAATCCATGAAATCACTGACAAGCGGACTGGGTCATGTTGGTAGATGTAGACTACCTGGTTGGGGTTCGCGAGGCGGAAGTCACCGATTGTTTGAGACCTTGAACGACATGACTCAGAATCGTTTGCAATGGCGCAGGTACATCCACTCTTTGTGTTCTCTCAAATTCTAACCTGAATTCCTCATAATCTCTGTCTTTCTCCTTACGAATTTATCTTACTGACGTATACTTCTCGAATCATATCTTCGCTCCCTGAATTCTCCATCACGGCTAATACTTCTACTATCGCTATCGCTCCTGGATTGGAATTGACAGTTGTGTCTCTGTGCCTACGTGGTATGGCAACCTCAACTGATCTACTTACTTACGAAGTTCTGCGTTGTATTTGTCTTTCTCTCTTTACTAGGTTCAGTAAGCCCCAAGCAAATACACATTGGCACTAGAGCATGATCTGAATCTAAAGATGATTTTCTTTAAGCTTAAAATTAATATTATCCAGGAGTATACATTTTTATGAGTATCGCTGCACCAGATGGTCACCATAATCTGATGTTTGAGCCACGACACCATGAGATCCACCCAGATGTCTTTGCTTTTCGCTTTGTTAACTTACTTGAGCAATAAAGTCACCGGCCATTATTGCTAAGTCACACCTCTTAACTTTTCGGAGGAAGTTTAAAAGCTTTCTGTAAAACTCATCTTTTATGTCGTCTGAACTGCACTCACTGTGGGCGTAGGATACGATGAAGAGGCAACGGCGAGTGTCCCTATCTTTCCGAGTTCCTACTGTCCCTTTTAGTCAGCTAGCTCACAAGAAACTGTCTGCCGGGATTCAGTATAAGAGAGCTTGTTCTACCCTAGGAATTAATACATTGTCTACACCAGAGAGGGCACGGGAAGCAGGATCAAGGCTTCCAGATACACGGAAAGTAAACCTTTTTGATCCTTTATCTGCAGAAGATGAAATCGAACTGATGATTTTATTCGGATCCTGTATGTGCGTTTCGGAGACGCAGCGCACATCGATGGCGCGCGATCCCACAGTCCTAGTTAATGAAGCCAGTTGCTATCTTTGACACAAGATTCGAACAAAAAAGACCAATATATATTTTCGAACGGGGTTTTAGGGGACAAGGAATAACGTCTCGTGGACTTGAATTGTTTGCATTAGCAGTGCGGGTTGATACAGATACGTGATAAGGGTTATTCGTGGAGGTAAGAGAGATGTTAGGAAGCGTATGAGGGATTTGGTTGTGACCAATTTGGTCCCGTGTGCTGTTACGGGTATGAAGGCGGTTGTCACTTCTCAGGTGCCCACACCTTGAAATAGCAAGTAGATTAGCATTGTTCTTAGAGACCACAGACTTCGAGAGACAATCGCTGGAGGCCAGTCACGCATGGCATTTTCATGAGCATTGGAATCGCTAGCTGCGCTCTTGCTTACAAGGCCTTACCGCCGGAGACGGAAATCCGTGAGGTAAGGTGAGGTGTGGCATTTTTAGGGTCGATGTTTTGTAACTCCCTCCTTCTTTGTGGGCATGCTGCGTCTCTGTAGAATTTGGTTGTCCGAGGGAAACGTCTTACTTCTGTCACACCCCTGTGCAGTCAGCAGTAGGACTTCGCCCTCAGAACTTGAGTAGCTGCTTTTCGTCTCAGTGTTCTCCAATCGACCTGCCTGTCATGGTAGATCGTATAGGATTTTATGTCCCAGCCAATATAGCTCGTTTGGGTGATCTCAATCGTCAAGTCTGACCAATACGTCAAGGTAGCAGCTGCGTTCGAAATGTTCAAAAAATCTTCTCTAGTAGCCGCTTGAATATGGATTGGATATGATTACTATTGATACCAATGTTTTTACTGAGTCGCTTGCTGGTTGGATTCCAACCGATTATTTTAAACAATAGTTTTGATTGTCAAATACATTTCAATTTTCTTTATTTTATAAGTTTTTACCAGTTTATCAACCAAATGAAGACGAACAACTGGATGCTGAATTATATGCTAATAACGTCCGTCGTATCATGGCAGAGTTAGTTAGTTTTTTAAATTTTTGTAATATCAGAGAGATCTCATGGATATGTGTATTCTTGATTCTTGTCACTGACTGAAAGAGCTGTATCAGTAAAACTAAAATATTTTATTACATTCCATCCTTAAGGCATAAGAACTTCACTTCTCATACTTTTCCTTGGAAGGACAAATGCAGTGCATATGAAATTTGTCCGCTGTTTCTTGCTGATGATAGGAGTAATTTTTCGACATTAAACGGCTCGCAGCGGCTTTTATTTTCCTGTCACCTGAAGTTTAGTAATAAAAAGAAAGACATTTCGTTAACACAATTTATAGACCTAAAGTTATAATCAATTACTATATATATATATTTATGTTGATGAACAAGGGGAAATATCGCCGCATTACTTAAGCGAACTATTATTTCGTTAATAAATAGATAGAGGCTATTATTAGGTTAGCGACCTATACTTACAGTTCTAGAGAATCGCTTCCAAATATCATTAGATACACTAAAATCACTTTGCAACATAGGACGACTAAATTTAAGTGAATTATGTCTCATCGATAATTATTCCGTTTCTCAATACATCAGACTTCTAAAGAGTTGCATTTATTCTTTAAACATTTTCTTAGTGTACGTTCAAGATGTTTTCAACAACTCTTCGAACTACTTGTTCATTTTTTACTTTTTGATTGTAATTAGACGTTTGAATGTTCCGCTCTGTGATTTATCCTACGACGACTACTGTCAAATGCGAATCGCATTCAAGTATAAAATACCAGCTTATGAAGCGGCGGTCTATTTGAATTCTTTACTTCAAATGATGTAGTGAGTGTGTATTTTGAATTTTCCTCTCTTATTTATGTAGTCAGTTGCAATTTCGTCTGTCATGAGAGGAAATGAAGCAAACCATTTGCTTGTACTCGTTTAGCGTGATGAATTTACCGACCACCAAAACACGGAATAATTCTAGAATGCTGAAATACTAGCAAACCTAAGGAGGTACTCCAGAAGTATCTGGCATTCTTCATATTTGTACGCATGTTAGTTAACTATAGTAAAGGAACACGTTCACTTTGTAACGAATTTAGGACTTCAATCTTAATATAGACAAGCATAACAATAAACCAGTGGTTCCCTAGTTAATTTTTTTAATTGAGTTGAACCTTTTAGCTTAGCTGTACATGAACGGCCGTAAGGAATCGCGGCTTAACTTTATAGTTATTAGATGGCAAACGAATTCATAGTAAATAACTGAAATCTTGAACTAGAGACTTGAGCGTACATTTAAGTCTGACTTCCTCGAATTCTATCAGAACAAAACAATAAATAGAGCACGTAGGTATTATCAAAGTACCATCAGATTTAATAAGCAGCAGCGGTACTATATCGACGTGTTTATCACAATACCAGTTTTCAGCGTTTGTATGTAAGTCAAGCGAATGGTGGTCGCTTTTTCCATTTTCGATTGTTGTAGATGTTGTTAAGGTGACTGCTCTACGATCCGGTCGTTAAACCTAAGCAGATGGTTTGTATGTAAATGTTGTTGATACATATCTTATATTAAGCTCTCGAAATATTCACTGCAAACGATTTATGTTACAGTACACTTGAACATAACTGTGATCCGATAACCGATGAAGATAAACAAACGGAATGGTTTCAAACTCGTCTTGAAAGCATGCTTGATGTATGCCAAAGTAAGCCGTACTTATCACGAGCAGAATTTATTCAAACTATATTTCAAACAAGCTCACTGAATGCAAAAGCTAATTATTTAATCGATTTGGTTATGAAATACTATTATAATCCTGTAAGTTTGTTTTGTTTCATTTCTTATAATTAGAAAACATATTTTTGATTGTAGAAAATATGCTTCATTACTTGTACTAAAAGGCGTTAGATAATAAACACCTTACTAAGACGGGTCGTAAATATTTTAAACGTTCTAAACTTTGATATGTATGTGGTTGTAAAAATATTTTGTTGGTTTACAAAAGCTATTAATTATCGGTAGACGTACTCAGCAATAAGAAACTAGCATTCTTTCTACACTGACTGCTGAAGTGTATATTTGTTTAACTTACGGTAATTCGTGTTCTTTGTTTTTAGTCATCAAATAATTTGAATTTCCGTATGTGTATGGTTCATGCATCTATGCTGCTTTTTCCGAAATTGCCTCATCGAGCTTTTTATTATGCTTCAAAGGTATGCTTATCATTATAAGATATCGGTTAGCTTCCACTTATACTGCTCCTGTTAATTTCATTTGTTATTAGTTACTACTACTGCAACTATACTATAAATGTATTTTTGTCTTTATTTTGACACTATTGCATAAATGAATTCGTTTTATTGTCATCTTTTCTATTGTACTTAATCGGCAAGTTAATTTTTTTTTGCAGACAGTGTAAACAATTCGCATTACATCTAAAAAAACGAATATTCTACTCATGTACAGACTTGTAACAGTGAATATATCCTTTTCTTACGTTTTATTCCCACCTGATTATTGTCTACTGCTGTGCTTGCGCTAATAAAGATAAAACTTCATATCGGCAAACAGAACGTAGACCAGTGACACAATAGCAGGATAGCTAGGCTATTCTCTGCAGCCCATCCCAGCTAACAACTAGAGCGCGAAGTCGAAAGCCAGCATGAATGAGGAATGCATAACCCATAACCAACCCCGGGCGAACAAATTGACGAGCGTTCAATTCAAGCATAATAGATAGGGTACAAAAAGCTTCCTTGGAAGAGTTACAAAATGGCGTATTAGAAGCGACTACTAATCAGTGAGGTTTAAGATTCTTCCAAGTAGCTAACTGAAGGTAATAAAGGGTGTTTTTGGCGCGAAAATGAGAGATTCAAATTTCCAAAAGTAAATTACAAAATTAGAGTTTTAGGAAGATGCCATTCTCCAACACTCACGTAAGTTTTGAAAATACCCCTGATTAAGACTGAAACTATATTCATCCCGTTGACAGACTTGTTGAATGACACTAATTAGCCTTCATTTTATGACTAATTATTCAACATTGACTGCGAATTCCTATAATATATCTCCGAATTTAATTGATCAATATTAATAACGTGTAGTCTCAGTAGGGAACTGCTTCAGGATTTACAGTACGAAGTCCTTCATTCTGTTTAACAATACCCTGTTGAAGACTTTGCCTGGTATTGAAAGGAGAGTGATGCCTCTGTAGTTCTCACACTTGCTGAGATCGCCTTTCTTTGGTATTTTGATGAGGTATACTTCTTTTCAGTCTAATAGTACATGTTCTTCATCCCAAATCTTCTTGAAGAGAATGTGAACTATTTTGGCAGTTGCTTCCACATCTGCTTTCATTGCCTCCGCTGGAATGTTGTCTGGTCCTGCTGCTTTGCCACTCTTGATTTGTTTGCTGGCCATGCTAATCTCCTCAATTGTAGGTGCGCCAATATTAATTGGGAGGTCCGTGGATGCTGTTTCGATGTTGGGTGTGTTCAGCGGAGCTGGTCGATTCAAGAGTTCCTTATAGTGCTCTACCCACCTGCCTCGCTGTTCCTCAATGTTGCTGATTGCTTTGCCTTCCTTGCTTTTCACTGTTCGTTCTGGTTTACGATGGTTTCCGGCGAGCTTCTTTGTTGTATCGTACAATTGTCTCATGTTTCATTCTCTTACAGCCTTTTCCGCCGTCATTGCTAGATCTTCCACATAGTTTCGTTTGTCGGCTTTGATGCTCTTCTCCACTTTCCTGTTTGCTTCTGTGTATTTAGCTTGTGCCTTAACTTTCTCTGCTCTTGTTCGGCTGACATTGATTGCTGCCCTCCTTTTACTCCTTTCTTTAATTTTTGCAAAAGTACCAACAGAGATCCAATCCTTGTGATGGTACTTCTTGTGACCCAGAACTTCGTGACATGATGAAGTGATTGCCTTCTTGATCCGTTTCCAATTGTTCTCGAATGTTGCTTCCTCTCCTTTGAGTATATTGTGCAAGGCGTGGAACCTATTGGTGAGGTATATCTTGAATTCGATGAGTTTTATGGTATCCCGCAGAAAGGCTGTATTAAACTTGTGTGATGTTGTCTGCCTCGTTATCCATTGTTTCTTGGATATTTTCAAAATCGAATGAACATTATTAACAAATGTTCGTGTTCTCGGTCACAGATTATTTTATATCAGCCGTCCCTAATTATTTATTGATCAAGATAACGGGGGCAATATGCTGCGAAACTAAAACCTTTTCAACGATAGAAATAATATGAATAACACTTGAAGAATGTGCTGTTATTATTATTTTCATATTTAATATGGGCGTGCTCATTATTCTATGCGTTTAGTTTTTTACTTAGCTACTTCACACAAAATTGATTATTTATCTGCAACCAAAAAATCATTAAACTTCTTATCACAAACATTTTTTAAAATCAGGAAACATGTCTATCATCGTTATCTTATAATGTTCCAGGCATATAGTCCGTGCATTTCAAAAACTCGTGTGAATATGAAAACAGTTTGGGAAATTAGTCGTTCTGATGCAGCGGAATTATTAAGTTTTGCGTTCACTTTGGATAATGATCAAATAGTTCAACTCATACTCGATTATGCTTACCAGATGCAAGATTCTGCTTCTTCAAATGATTCATCCTGTGGAATTAGCGGGGGTAAGAAATGTTCAATACATACTTTGTAATTATTCTGTGCTGATGTAGTACGTTTATATCAGTCATCTAATTATTACCTCGTATCTAGTTGCTAGTTTTTATCGTATGATCTATAATCAACAAGCGATTGTGAATAGTGAGGGAATTGATTTAGATCAGAACCTTAATTAAATGTTCATTATAGAGTTATAGAAATTGTTTTTTTTCATTGACATAATGTACTCACTGGTGACTAGATTACTGAGGGAATTCTCTTGGTTTTACTGCGAAGCCATGGCCAGGGGAGTTCAACCCAATCGGGTATAGGGACTAACTACCGTAGACGTTAAGTAAGATTGCACAAAACCCTGGATCGACTGAAGTTAGATGTTGACACTGTTGAATGCCGACTCAATGGTTTGAAGGTTAAGCGTTCGCGCTCGAAACCGAGGGCCCTTGGTTCGATTGCCGCTAGTGGGTCTCGTGGATGCTCATTGATGAACAGTCCCTTACTAGGATGAAACAGCTGTCCAGTACGTCCAGGCTCCTTCCAATGCTGGTCTAACAATGATCTATTCATGATACAAAAAATATTTTAAAAAAGGTAATTTAATGTAATTTGGTGAGTAATATTAGGATCTAAAGCAAACCACTAATATTTTCGGTGCACTTCTAACATTTGTAACATCAGTTCACAGATTTTTATTAGTTTTCAACTTAAACAAGATCATTTAAGTATATCTACTCCTAATTAAGTATGCACTCTACTCCTTTTACTTTTGATAACTACATAATTCCCTGCATTGATTTAATGATAAACACTTGCTCTCGATCCCATTTTTGAAGTTTATCGTTTGTGCAACTTAGTGTTTATACTATGAATTGGGCTGATCAGTCATACATTCCTCGAAACTTTAGTTAATTGTAATTCTCATCGGTAAGGATGCTATAAAAATACCAGCGTTTTCTCCAGAATGGTACTTCAACAATGGGAATGGTCACCTGTATGTAAAATGCAGTTGCTTTAATTATGTATGTTTTTTCCTATGACATTTACAGTTTACTCACTCATTGACAACTTAGAGATTGTTGTTGCTTGGTTGAATATTCTTCAATATTGTTCCTTAATATTTATTTTGTTTTGTAAACTTTTCTTGTATAATTTATCTCATACTGTATCTTATCCTTCATATCCTTTTCCACATAGAATACTTATACGAAGGCCTTTTATACTACTTGCCTGATGTGGCTAAATGTTATGCTCATTTTGATGATGAAGTCAGTAAAGTTTTCGGTCGTCTTCGTCGTCCATTAGTTGACTCACCTTCTGCATCAGAAAGTAATCTTAATGATTTAACGTCAATACAAGCTGTTCCCGGAGCTGATACTTTTAGTGCTACAAGCTGTCCACACATCCCGACTATCCAAAATAAAAAAGCTCAAATATTGACCAATCATTTTGAGTGCATTGATATTGCAGAAATTCCACCAAGAGAAACTAGTAATTATTCTGAAAAATTAATGGATAATGTCCATCTAACCAACAGCCTGCATAAAGATGATCAAAGTATTAATTTTCGCGGGCGATATTCTGAGCGTGGTATGTAATTTATTTAGCACTTAGAAGTTGAACATCGTCTTCCTGTATCTTGCTTTATCTTTCAGTGATGTAAAGAAATACAATTTTTAATTCCATGCAAAATAAAAGAGGGCAATCGTTTAATTTTTTTGATGTTGTTTCGTTCCGACTAGTTTGTAAAAATGTTCTTTTACTGTTTAAATACAGATTTATGTTTACATATCCTGTTCTTGCTGCCTTAACTAAAATTTAATATTACAAAACTATATATTGAAGTTTAATGTACAAATCTGTAATAAAATTTGTTTTTTTATTACAAGTTTTTAATGCCTGTACGGAATGGCACTTCTTCTTGGCTCATATTATCACACATGATAGGAATGTCTTATTTTCTAACTCAGTTATAATTCTATCGTCAAAAATATGGGAAAAACAACCAGGACTTTAATCCTGGTACATAAAAATACAACGCATTTTGTGACAGGTTATGTATGTATCCTTTGAAAATATACTCAGTTCCTATCCTTTTTACAAACATTACTCAATATTGTTTACTTTTATTCGGTGCTTTGTTTTGTATTTATTTGCGTAATTTGTGCCTCTGTATAGGTTATATTCCATGTGTGCAAATTAATGATTACTGTTTGTCGTCCACAATTGTATTCTTGTTCTTGTATTATTTTCTCAGTAAATTTTCCAGCTATGTTACGAATTTTGAAATTCATCTTTCACCTCAACAATCGTACATTCATCCAAACATTTCTATATGAACAATATTTATTATATGTATCCTGGAAATTGTTTTTGTTTTTATGCACAATTCCTATGTTATAACTGATTTGTGTTTACTGGTGAACTGTTTTTGATTAATAATAAGAAAATACACACGAGTCGTTAAATTTTTATCTACCATTGCTTTGAGCATCATGCGATATAATTCACTTGATAATTGCTATGAAACTGTTCTTTTAGTTGAACTTTGTTCGACTTATGCTTCGCATGCTTGTGTGTATGTATGTTACTGTAATCTATTTTTACTCTTGTAAATTGGGCCTAATTCAATGATGTCGTTCACACTGTGTACCTTAATTAGTCTAAAGAATCTATATATTTGTCAAACAAACTTCAAGATGCTACATGTTCACACGTCTGGTTACTTAAAGTGTAGGCAAGAATTCTCAAACTAAGGGAAAGCACCTTCAATTTATTTTGAGAATACTTATGTAACAAACTGTTTTTCATTTCCATCAATGTAACCTGCAACTACTTGTTATCGATGTGGTCGATTGGTGGCATGGACCGTTTGTAGTACATCGGCATTCATTTTCTAATTACTGGGTCAAAGTGATTTTTGAAAGTCAATAAAATTCGAAGCAACAAAATCACCACCTTTTACGTTACAACTAACTATACGCAATTGAACTATGAAGGAATTGTTCATAAGACGGACAAAAACCAAATTCCATACGTCTTCATTCTGTGATAAAGAGCGCATTTTGGAGCGTAACTGGTGTCGATAGTCCTAGATTTATTTTAACCAACCTAGGTATAGATCTTTAAACTATTATCAGTGTGGTCGTTTTGACAACGAAAAACAGTAGCTAAATGTCTTCACTGTATTTTACTGAATAGATTTTGATCTTTCAGACAAACTATTATCCTGCCTGGTCTCCTTCCCACATCTAAGCTGTTTCCCTACACTCCTAGTTCGCATGCCAGTCCAGGCCATTTGTAGGGATATTATCATAATTTGACGATTAAAACTTCCTATTTCGTATCCACATTTAGCTCATATCATAAGGTACCAAATGAAGTAGAAAAATTTTTTAATGGATATCGAACAGTACTTAAATGTTTTATCCCAAGAAATACAAAGTTGAATCTGCTCAGAAGATGGTTTGTTTGATTTAAGAGGTAACATCCAGTAGATATGCCTTGTTGACTGCACTACGTAACGTTTATATTTACTTATTCAGGTGTTTAGATCCCACAAAAACGATAGCTTACAATCTTCAAACTGATATTATTATTTGGGCTTCTAATAGGGGACTCGCTCTTGTTTTTTTTAATTTGTTCTTCAGATCTGTTGTATTAGGGAACATTTGTGCTTCTTTTTGATATCTTTCATTTTGTCAAGGTTTTGCATGCATAACTCGATCTGTAAAGTCTAGACAGTAATTTTGACTGATTTGTCTTAGTTTTACCAAATACTGACTTGTAGATTTATGAAGGGTTTAGAAATGAGCTGATAGTCATATTCAGAAATTTTAAGCTGTCCCATCGAATTGTTTAAAAAGTGCTTGTATTAGATAAATGGCATATTTTTCGGATGTTTATAGTAGATTAGCGTACAGTTTGCCAATAAAGTCATTGATAGTCATCGCTAGTGGGAATGAATGTGTGTAAAGCAGTTGTCTCGTATACTTCTGTGCTCACTAGAGTTTTCATGTAGACTGAAAGTAAAGGGTGTATTGAGCTAGTTTATTTCTCTGATTTTTATCATTGTAGTAGCACAAAAGATGAGTTTTGATACATCGGAAAACATTGACTATTAAAATAATGCGTAAACCGTTTATCTTCAAATTTACGTGACTAGTTTGTCATTGCTTGGTTTCTCTCCCGTAACTACATATTTCTCCTGACTGTTGTTTACCTTGGCATTATTTAACTCATCACTTTCCAGCTCATTATCATTTCTTCGTCCTAATCTATATGAACGTTAAACGTTTGGACCAACCACTATTCAGGTTAGGTAAACATACGTAAGCATACTTTGTTACGTATACAAAGTTGATGATGCTGAAAGAATTCTGTTTCACAACAATTTGTTCTGAGTTTTCGCATCATAAAGTTTATTGACTAATAAAAAATAATTCGGAACTAAGGGGTTCGCATGAACTTTCTAATAATTCATCTTGGTGATTATCCTACTTTTGTTAACGTTTTTAATCAATAGGTTTTCTGTTCTTTTGTGCACGTCTAAAATTCAACTGTTGTTATGTTATTGTTCACCTAATACATCAACGATATAATTAATCTTTATTCATGGTTATATGCTACTCCAAAATATATTACATGTCCAGAAAATCAAACCAGTCCCATGTTTGTCACTTATTTCCGTTCATAATGGCATACATTCTATCTTAGTCAACCCACATACATAAAGAACAAGAGTGATCATTAGTACATTTTATGTATTTTTTGGGTTAGCAGTTAAGTGTTTAATTCTATTTTTGTGATGTAACTCAATTTTTCCAAAATTTAATTCAGGTACTAAGCAGTTTAATCGATCATCATTTGTCAACTTCAAATAATTATTAGTTTTTATGATCCATAATCAGTAATTTTCATAAACATGTTTTTGTTTGATACGCTGTTTTATGATTGTCTATTGAAATACACGCTAACAAAATGAGTTTTCTGAATTTGTTTATACAAGTAAAGCACTATAAAATAACCAAGTTTCTTAGACTTTTTGTCATATAGGTTTTGTCTACGATGAAATATTATCAAACAAACTAGATTCATTATATTAAACCAAATTTCTGTAAAGCTTCATCCATCCACTTCAATGCCGATTTAACTGAAAGTCACGTACTGGTTATCCATTAAAGCTGTCTTATTCAATATACTAATTTTGAGTATTTGAGACTACGTTATAAACATGGTTTCTAAGTTATGTGTTTATCTAATTTTCACGAATTTCAAGACATGCATCATACACTGGTAGAACTGGGATGCATCACACGATCGTTGTTCTTTTTTGTATGTTAATCATTCTAGTATAATGAGATAGTCATTTCTATGAGAACATTGTCGTAGCACAAGTTTGATTATTCTTTTTTCGAATCTTTTATGCCTGTTACCCCTAATCGAGCATTGGACGCCAATCTTTCCTTTGCTCTCCTTTCCAGTTCTTCCTGATTACTCATTCATTCTGTCTTCAACTGTCAGTGCGGTATGTTCCTTTACCCTGGAGGATTCCAAGTTAGGGCTTGCCTCCTGGCGCAGTTGTGTGATTCCCTAAATGTGCCATAACCACCTCCAGCGCTTTTTCCTGATTTCTTCCTCCACAGGAATCTGGTTTGTTCTATCCCACAATAGGCTTTTCCTGAGGGGACCTGGCCAACGAATCTGGAGCACCTTGCGTAGAAAACCGTTAATAAAAACTTGCACCTGTTAGATGGTAGCTTTCGTCGTTCTCCAAGTTTGCCCTCCATATAGTAGAACTGTCTTGACATTTGTATTGAAAGTTCTGACCGGTGTTGGTTGATAGTTGTTTTGGATGGCAGATGTTGTTCAATTGAAGAAAGGCAGCCCTTGCTTTCCCGATCCGCGCCTTCACATGTGCATCAGATCCAGCCTGCTCGTCAATGAGGTTGCCCAGATATGTAAAAGGCATCTCTATCAAGAGTGATTTGGTTAGAGCATGTTGTGCTGCATCTGAGAGCCATGCTTCTTCCCTTACGTATGTTGAGAACTAGTGCTGCTGCTACACTGGATGATTTCTGCATTGGATGTTGTGTATGTGATAGAAGAGCATGATCGTCCAGTTTTCCAATGAATTACGTGCTTCCACTGAGATGCTGACATCTTCATAATCCAGTCAACCACCAAGAAGAAAGAGAAAGATTGACAGTGAGTTACCTTGTTTGACAGAGGTCTTAACTTAGAATGAGTCTTTGAGCTGCCCTCAATGCATGATTTTGTAGTGTAGTCCATGATGAGTATTCCGCACCATAATGACTATCTTAGGCAAATCGTAATTTCGAAAAAGCATCCATAGTTTTTGTCCACTTTGTCGAAAGTTTTCTCGAAGTCAAGGTCATTGGTGTTTAGTGGTGAGTGCGACCCAGTTGATCATTCCACAATCATTCGTAGTATCTCGATTCGGTCATTACACGGTTGATGCTTACGGAATCGAGCCTGCTAATCTTGAATTTTGGCGTTGACGGGATTTTTCATACGGTTTAACAATGCTCTTTTGAAGACTTCTTGGTACTGAACGTAGGATGATGCCTGTGTAGTTCTCAAACTTGCTGAGATCTTGGTTTGGTATCTTGATCAGGTGTCCGATCGTAGCTATGTCAGCTCCCTGAGATTTCAATCCTACAAATGCTTCTTGTACGTTGAACAGCATCAGTGCAACTCCTCGTGTGTTGGGGGCATTCTCTTCTTTATGGCTATAGTATTACAGAATTACACCTGAAGATAGTTTTTTTGTCCAACCTTTGGGCAGTGAGTGTCACTTATTCCAATCACCACCGGGTTTTCTTTTCATTTCTGCAGTCTCCCACATTGTGCGACCATTCTATGCAGTGGTCGTCAGAAGGGGCTTTGGCCCTGTGACTTCCGAACGAACTCGGCTTTCATCATGAGGCATGGTAACTGTTCTTAATGAAGACGTCCCAACTTCTAGGGCAGGATTTAAATAGTTTGAATTATTTCTTCTGGTTAGCATTATTGTAGTGAGTTGGCTTTCTACGTGAGGGGCTCACTAATCCCATTCTCAGTCCTGGGCTTGAAACCGGGAGTAACCGTAGAGATGGTCCGTACGGAGTTTAATTCATCGTTTAATTCATTGACGAAGTTTCTAGAATTTATGTGGTAATCGTGTCAGTGATTTTCCTACCTAAGAGAATTCCACATGCTAACACATACAGATTTAAGAAGTCCCAATCACTTTCGAACTCTTAATATGTGTATATTTTTGGGTACACTAAAGCTACTTTGTATGTGCAAAATATCCGGTCACAATCTTATATTTTGGCTGACTATCAGGTAAATGACCAACAACGAATATGAAGTGAAAGTCACAATCAGCCTGTAATCTTCCGTTCCTACGAATCACATTGCATGTTCGTGAGGTGATACTTATTATAAATTTTATCTGTCTCACTCGGATACATTTCCTTTGTTTGAACAAAATAACTCTGTATAGGCTATCCTTAGGCTTTGCGATCTATTATTTTTCAAAATTGATCGGCGGTTGAACATATTTAGTTGTTGTGAGAAGTTTCTCGAAAATCTTTCCCGTTTTTATTCGAGAATCTATGACATTTTATTGCATCACTGTTCCTGGCATTTTCTACTTTATTGCTAGCAAACGTGGTAGCTTTTAAATGTTCGGGGTATTTTTGTATATATCATTCAAACGCTAATCAAGCTGGTTCGCTTTAAGTTAGTTATATTGAATTATTTCCCTTCAAATAGTATTTTTACACTTAGTGTCTGCTTTGGTGATTAGGCAGTTACGAATGGCATATCCGAATGATTTTCGCTGCTGTTGCGTGATAAAAATAGTCTCAAGTTAATCATATGTCTCATTTCAACAGTAAAAACAAACAACTATTATTTCGCAGAATTGATGTCAACAACGCATTTTTGTGGGCTCATGGACATTTGTTTCTTGTGATCATCGTTAATCGGTCTCGAGAATATAATTTACACCATTTAGTTCAGTTCAATAACTAATCCACACTTCGTTTCATTGTCTAACACCATTAAGTTTGTTGGTATTTGTCCGATTTATTATTTAAATAGACAAAACTTTAAGAAATGTTCAGTTCTTTACCTAACCTCAGAATAGTTTTAAATATAGTATTTTTTTAGTAAACCAGCAAAATGAAAATTGATTTTTACATTATCTACTTATTGTAGCTTGTACAACATGAAAAGAAATAAACAGTCCAGTAATATTACACCAATGGATGTGGAAGAACGCTCAGATGGTAAGGACGTTTTTTTAGAGAAATGCATTTCATTTGCTGAAATTACCTCCACTGACCGAGCACTTGGAATGATGTATCTTCAAAAATATAACTGGGATCTTGAGGTAGGTGTTTTCTATTTTATCCATATATTTTGCTTAGGTATAACTTGAAGGTTCTTTCTTAAGTTTGAATTCTTTACAGTTTCGTCCGAGATGGTATTCCAAGCTTCTTCGGTCAGATTTTACAGCGCTATTTAGAGAATTTTGTTTTTAATTCATTAGTAAAATGAGTTAGCTCTAAGTGAATACTTATATGAAAAAATATGTTTGCATTTTAGAAAACAACTTTTATTTCACAGTATGGATATAGTGTGTTTCAAAGCAAATTTACTCACTTATTGACTAAATCTGTATTTTATCCCTTCGGTTCGTTTATTGTCTGGTAATAATTGAATAATGTTACAACCTGTCATAAATAGTGTTCTCTCCATTCATGTCACTCAACTAATTCACAACCTTAACAAAGAATTTATCAACCTACTTGATTTATTCATAAGATTGTGTATTGTCCAAAACTATTTCTGCATATTTTTTTTTAACGGTAATTAGAATTGTTATTTTCCGAAGTGACTTCAGCTAATTTTGTCTCAGCTGCTTATTTTTTTAATTGAGGCCATTTAATAAATGGCGTTTTTTTTTCTGAGTATTTATTGTTCTTTTTTTAATTACTTTCTAACGAAATTTCGATGTTTTATCAATCGATGATAAGTCAACTTATATCCTATTCGTCATTGTTACCGGGTATTTCTAAGCAGTTGAACTAAACAAAATGTTCATACCATTGTTTTCGTCAGTCACGTATAACCAACCAGTCGATATATGATGATAAACGGAAATGTGATTGTGCAATAAAAACACATTTAATTTCATCAATAAAAAAGGCTGATTGAGACGTTATTTTGATGTTTATTGTTTATTTGCATTATGTGAACACTATTTAACCAAGCTGTTCATATTTTATTTACTTTGACAAATAATTATTTCAGGTGGTAATCTACAATTAATAAATATGATTTGAGTTTTGATGTAATGATTATGTTACTTTGAAACACTCTTGAATAATAATTGCGTATTGTTCTCAGTTGTGCGTGGTAATAGATGTTTATCAAAGATTTTAATGAGCAATTGGATGCGTTTGGAAGTTTGTGTTCATTGTTGTACTATTGTGAATAATTAAATGACCTAATTATGAAAATAACAATTTTTTAACTGCTAAAAATAGAATTAGCGTAGGATGTATCAATGAAAAAGTATGTAAGATAAATATTTGAGTGAAGACGGTTTCGTTAATGAATATTTTGTATTCAAAACTTTTACAAAAGCATGCTTTAAAATTCATTAATGTTACAGCTAATTTGAGCGTTTGTATTACTTTTTAGTAGATATCGTGAGTGGATTTCTCTTAGAACAATGAAAACTTATCATGAATAGAATATTCATACATAAATCCGTCAGTTTAGGAATTTTCGAAGTCCAACTATCATATAAACACCCACATAGAGTGGGTGTATTGGTTTTAAAAGTAAATGAATGTTCTAGTAAATGATAGAAAAATACTTGATACGAATAAAAGAAACGAGGTTTAAAGGAAGGACAAAGAAAAATTCGAAATGCTATACAATAAGATGATGTAACTCGGAAGGATAACGACACTCGCCGTTGCCTCTTCGTTTTCTCTGCCTACGCTCCCACTGATTGCTGCAAAGGTTCATCCGCCCTCATACTCACAAAAGCACACGAGACCGAATTAGTCCAGTAAAGTCTTCTCTTACCTCAATGACCGATCCTCACATTCCTTTATCACCTTGCACCGCTGACTTGAGTTCGTAAAATTTTATTCCTAGTCTCCTGAAACCACTCTCTGAACTACATGATGGGGCTCTCGATGTTCGAACCTCTTGCCAAATCAGATAGCGAGTTTCCCTTGCTAGGATTCTCGAATCTCGTACCAAACTGACAGATGCTCGGGAACTCATCCTGTCTGGCTCTGAACATGACGAAGAGCGTAGTGAGCTTAAACACAGGCTGATGAAAAGCCTACACAATGAACTGTAGTGGGTAGGTAAAGCAACAGCGATGATAGGTCACAGTAAATAACTGTTTAGAAGAAACCGGTATCCATGTATTATGGAAACTATCTCAGGAAAGGAGGGTCATATCATTCATTCTTAATCTAGTAGATTGAATCGATTAGCAGAGCACTTCAGGGATCAGTTCAACTGGCCTTCAGCTACACTTTCGTTGCCCGCGATCTGCAGTCAACTTGAATGACAAATCGACGTAAGTCCTCCGACTCTTTATGAAGTTGAAGAAGCTATAAGTAATCTGAAGCAAATGAGCCGAGCGTAATTTGATAGAGTAACCCTCAGTAATTTTAAGGATGGTGGTCCAGTTTTAGCAGTAAGTTTGACCGAGATCTTAGGTGGAATCTGGGAACTGGGCGTAATCCCATGTGACTTGTCTCAGTCACTGATAGTTGCAGTCTATAAGGAAGGACAAAAGCTCTCTTGTGACAGTGAGAGGGAAATCAGTTTGGCTAATATAGTGTCTAGAATATTTGCCTCAATAATACTCCGACGCCCGACTAGAGCCCGTGAAGAGCAGATTAGAGGAGGGCAGGCTGGTTCCAGGCCTGGACTTGGTATATAGTCCAGATATTCACACTATGTCATATCCTAGAGCATTGACACACATTTACGTGTCCCTCAATAGTATTATTATTCGACCATCAGACGTTGTTTGATTCTGTTGATATTGAGGTTACACAAGCTCTCTACTCGAATACTACTTGTCGAGTGAAAGTTTACGGCGATCTGTCATCGGAATTAGTTTCCACGCGTATTGTTCATCTGGTTTGTCCACTTTCTAAATTATCATTCAACTTTGTCATTGACATGCTTTTAGAGGCAAAACTATTATCGTCTGAATTCTCTGCGGTTGAGCCTTTACCAGGAGACTTGCTTGTTGAGTTATAATACGTCGATAACATAGTTCTATTTCGTGAAATCCATGATAAAATGCAGTCTTTTGAATACATTAAGCAACAATGCAAGCATGTTCGTGATGCGATTCTCCCCCTCGAAATCCGAAAGTTGCTTAACGATCGGCTTGCATCGGCACATGAACTAGTTATAGGAAATGAAGCCGTTCGGCGTGTCAACCGCTCCACTATTTTTGAGGGTGTATCATCAGTGTTGATGGCCTCATGTGTGACGAAAACTCAGCACGGATACAGAAGGCTCGATTGGCATTTGCCAACTTGCATCACTTATGGCGCAGGTGAGATATCCGTTCGCTAACCTAAGGACGAGTGTACTGCGCAGCAGTTCGCTCCGTTTTACTTTGTCTGTAAAACATGGTCGACTGATTCATCACGGTGCGAAGACCTGACTGCTACATCAAGGTAGCATCTATAGTAGAATATATATATATATGTGTGTTTATACTATATCTTGCTGAAATTCTGACTTCGTTTCTATGTATAACGTTTTTATTAGTTTGTCCAGTAACGGTTTCCAAGATAAAGCGTGTGGAAGTACTAACAGTAATCCACTGTAGTGAATAGTATTACAAAATATTTATTCGATCAAAGAGTGAAAACGTTTCTTAAAGTCAAGCAGTTGTTTTTCGTATTGGCAAATATATCATTTAAGATGACTATATTAATGTTTGGTCTTATCTTAATTTTCCTATTTTGATCGTACCATTTTTTGAAAAACAGAAGCTGGGATATTTATTTTGTTTAGTTCTATCATTTGTGTATCATAAAGATGTTTGGTTGTTTTGTTATTTGTAGAATATCTGCACATTTATTGGCATTGTTCGGTAACATGTTGTTAATTATTTAACCTAGCAGCTACCAAACAATCGTATGTCATATAGGCAGGAGACCAGTGATAGATATGCTTATGAAAATTGATCGTAATTCAACAAAATTGTTTCTGTTGTAATTTATACACATTAATTTCTGAGTCGACTTGCTCGCTCAGATTTCTAAGGATAACTGAGTAAATTAAATGTGAACCTTGAAACTCAATATTTGTAAATAAAACACTACAAACCTTGAGACATTCTGTATTGAATTCATCGTAAGGTTAGTGCAGTGATCGATTAAAAACGAGTTATTTTACTTTGGTGAATCATCAACTTCCATTTATCGTCTTTTTATCAATCAGTATTCGAATAATAACAAAGAAAAATAACTAGTAATTATTACTTTTTAAATTATTTTAGCTCATGTATACAACCTTAGAGTATTGAAATTGGTTTACCGGCAACAACAATAATTTTTGATTGAAAAAAATTTGTGGAGTTACTTTCCATCACAGACCGACATCAAAGGACGAACCTTTGAATACCAGATATCGTTTTCTATTACGAAAAAACTTTTACAATAGTGATTAGGGCCTTCGCCACACTTATTCTTTGTGTTGAGCCATTCGAAGTAGTTGAAAAGTTCATTTGTCTTGATGTTTGTCTGGGTTCTGGCGGTCGGTTGATAATGAGATCACCATGCTCATAAGAAAAGTCAGAGCAGCTTATGGCAATCTGTGTCATCTTTTTCACCGTTGTGAGGTTAATCTGGATGTAGAAGATCGGGTTTATAACACTTCGGTGAGAGGAGTTTTGTTGTGTGCTTACGAAACATGACCTCTCCGTGTTGAGGATGGTAGGCAACTCTTTGTATTCGACAGTCGTTTTCTCCAAAAGACGCTTGACATTCAGCAGCAACGCCATGTTCATGTATCTGAAGTTCGGCGACGTTTGTTCAGGCTCAGTGCTAATGGTTCAATCTATGTCACTAGCTTCGGTAGCTTGGATATGTGTTACGAATGTTGTTCCAGAGTTTTCTACATTATTCATTATTTTCCCATGGTTAGAACGGTTGAAAAAAAAGCGAAGAGGTTTTCGGTTTATGACATGTCACCCTAGTATTCAGGAAAGCTGTTAATGACCGTTGTCTGTCAGCCCCTCTGTTGAAGTCCTATAAATGATGCGACTAAGTGTCTTGAGTCGTTATCAGATATAGTTCATAATAGAAACCTATGCCAACCTTACTACAG